GCACATTCCTCCTGGGACAATATGTATACACATGTATATATATATCGTATATTTTTGTTTAGTTACTCCAAGAGTGTTTTACTTTCAGTTATATATTTACAACATTATAATTGTTTTACCAATTTTGCAGTCAGAGGAGACACAAACTAAGATACAATCTCTGGAGCAGCAGATCAGCTGTATGGAGGATGAGCTGTCTGAAGCTCGACTTGAGGCTTCAAAACTCAAGACAGAGCTGATTTCAGAACGATCTGCCTGGGAGGTGAAACTTTCTGAGATACAGTCACATGTTAATGAGGTACATTTCCCTATTTTTAATGAAATTAAGAGGGATATTACTATACATAATGACAGTCATGTCATATAGGTTGGCTTGTGTGTTTGCCCTACTGACCAGATGGCCACATTCTTGAGATTCTTGTAACTGCTTGATTAGTATGCACATACATATTACATTCTCTTAATTTGTTTTGGCTAATGTATACATTCACATCATCGTATGTTCTATATAAAAACCTGATGATTAAAATACATAACTATAGTTTTGCCTTTCATTTTATATGAATATGAAGAATGGTCTCTCACTCTAGAGGAAGAATGATAAATTGAAAGTATGTGAAAACAAAACAAAAAAAAAAACTTGGAGCTTCTTGACTTGTTCTAAGTCACCTACTCTTGTTAGCATTATGAAAACAAGAAGAAGTATGACTGGGGTAAGTTAGAATGGAACAGGCTGATTTGGAAGAACAGGTGGAAAGATAATACAAAGGAATCAGTCCTATTGTGAAGGTGTAGGCTGAATTAAGCAGCCTGAAGATAGAATTCACATGTCAGACCACTGCAGATATGCAGCTCAAGGCTGATTACTGAAAACATAGCTTTGTGTAGACATGCTGCCATCTTTTGCTGGAAGAGGATAACGCTGCCACATCCTCCCATCCTTCTAATTTTGCTCAGAGCACACAAATAAATAATATTAAAACCCTGATATTGCATAGTATCTTACTCTATCTTCATGACAGAATTGAGTTTGAGAGTGCCTTTAAGAGATCACACAGAACTCTTTTAAAACATTTCATTATCATCAACTGAACTATAGCGCTATCTGTTCTCAGCATCCCTTGCAAAGCTCAACTCTACACTAAGTGACAACTAACTTGAGTATGAGGGGTGAGCCATAAAACTGGCCCTAGCACTGCAACCTTCAATGATCTATTGTGCTTGACAACTAACTTGGTTGCCCCAGTTGTCTTCAAGATTACTCCTTTGCGTGGACCAAGTAGAAAACACCGTTTCTGACAGTAACTCTATTGTTGTAGAGGTGTGTATACCATGCCGTTGCATAGCAACGGCTGCTGTTTCTTTATTTCTTTCAAGATGTTGGGCTGGTGATGAGTCTATATGCCACAATATGCTCTGTGAACAAAATACACAATTTTTTAATCCTAACATGGTTAGTATACATGTATAGATTAATTACAAAACAGATTATTCTTAAATTTAACATAAACCTAATTTTTGGCTTAGTTACATATTATATTAAACAACTACATTAAAGTTCAATATTTTGTATTATGAAACCTTCCCAAGTTAAAGCGAAAAGAAAAATGTAATTGTTTAAAGTCTCTAGTAATTAGCAGTATTCTATGGTGTTAGTTGTTTACTTACATATTTACTTGCTTCCCTGTTTTCTTAGTTACTCAGTTGGAAATGCCATACATTCTCATTCCCTTCATTTTAGTACACATGTTGCATGTTTTCAATTCCATTCGTTGCACAAAAATTCCTACCAATTGGAAGTACAGCTGAATTATAGTGTTCTGAATTGTCACAGCTGGAGGAAGATCGTATCATAAGCAGTGGACGTACAAAAATTCCTGGAATGCGTACAAGAATGGAACTAGCCTGGCAGAAGGAGCGTGAAGAACAGCATCGACTACTTCAGGAGACATCTACATTGGCCAGAGATCTTCGTCAAACATTGTTTGAGGTGAATATTTAAAAAAACTTACATGAATATACATTACTCAGCCAATGAGCGCAATGAAGACTGGACAACTAGACAACAGTGATTTGATTCCTAGCAGGAGCAGAAATTATTCCTTCACTTCTACATAGAGACCAGATCTGAGTTTTTTACAGCTTCCTATATGAGAGGATACTGAGGTTCTTTGCCAGGGATAAAGTGAGCAGAGCATGAAGCATACCACCTCCATCTAGTCCTTGAGGTTAAGAATGTATAAAGCTATACTTCCTTGCTCCCTGTATGCTTTCATGGCATGATGCTTCAGCAATGTTACCTCTGTATACAAGATTATAATTTGATTAGCTGTAGCTAATATTTAAGATATAAATATTATTTAGTCTATGATTTCTTAAATTATATCCTAAACTTGTATCTTTATCAAGCCAGCTGTACTTCTATATGCTGCTGTTGCCAGGTGGAGCGAGAAAGGGACAAGGAACGTCTGGAAGCAAAGCGACGTCTTGACCAACTCAAGAAGTCAACAGAAGAAGAACAAGAGGAAAACAGGAAGAAAGTTACAGAGGTCAGATTCATAAATTTTGACAACAGTTCTGAAACTTCAGAACTCATAGAGCAGCAATGTCAAAATATGATAGATCATAAAGTAGTTGTATGTTGCTGTTTGTAAGGTAACTTACTTCCAGCAATACTTACAAAATTGTGTTAAATAGCTGAAGGAAGGCCTAGGTGCAGGTGGAAAGATAATATTAAATAGGATATAATGGCATGGACTGGGATTGAACTGCCTCAGTTTAAAGATGAGTGGAGACATGTGTGAACACAGAGTTCAACCCTTTGGTTCAGACTCAGGGTTTTGACACCATCTAGTCTTGTGGATGGTTACAGATGTTTTGAAGAATAATACTTCCTCCATCTTCAGGGTTGAAGTATGTAGGGTGACAAATTGGTACAGTTTCATAAGCAGGTGGTAGCGAAGATTGTTACTCTGATCTACAGGAGTGAATGAAGGAACTGAACCGGATTCAAGGCAGTGGGAATAGTAAGTAAAAAAATGCACCTTTCATGGTCACGCTGTGTTTTCATCACAGGACTGCATTATGCCACACCCTAGAAGACGACAGTCTGAGTTATCTCTGCTGTCAAAACCTCAGAACTTAAATCTTTTGCTTCCAAAAAGGAATGGAATTTCCTAAACAGCCAAATATTTTCAGTGTCCTATGGAAGATCCTGAACCATGGAGTTAGTGAGCCACTGAGACAGAATATTTTTTCTGTGAACCTGCCTTAAAGCTGGAATAAATTCTGTTTACTTATTTGTTTATTATTATGGTTTATTTAATAACACTCTCCATAACTAGTCTCTAGAGGGTCAAGTTATTGGATGGCAATGAATAATGTGTGGCAGGAAGTCAGACATCTTGTGGGTCACATTTTGAGGCTTTCATTCATCAGAAGTGGTTCACAGAGCTTCATATAAGAACAGCATTGACAGATCTTCAGAAACATTTTGGATTTATGCACTTCCACACTATACATTTTATTTCCAAAAACACAACTATCACATAACTCACAGTATATCAGCATAAAAAATAGGTTAAAATTATCACATTGTTTTAAAATACTTATGGTGCACTGATTGTAAATTAGGAAGTAACAGAAAGCAACAGAACTTCATGAGATATGCTTTTGGATCAGAACATCATTGTAATATGCCCCTTATTGTTATAGGTACAGTGTGACTTACTGGAACTTCGTGATGCTCATGCAAAATTACGGACAACCAACGAGAAGTTGCGTCGAGAGAAGGAACGTAATGAGAAAGAACGTGAAGAACTTAGGCAGTTGGCATCAGGCAAGAGACGTGCTGAACAGGAAGAAGACAGAAGAATCAACATCTTACTAGAGCAAGTAAGTTACTTGTTGTTACGCCTTCTTACTAGGAAAGATGTGGGATGGTATAAAACTGGGCTGGCAAAAACCAATTTAGTGTAGCAGTAACGCTGTAAAGGGTATACTTCAAAGGTTCCTGGTTCAGATCTTGGCTGTCTTGAGTTAGATCTGTTATGGTCTTTGTCAATTTCACTATATGAATGTCATCATCATACTGTCAAACAGACAACGAAATTCTTACCTAATGCTCACTGATAATATTTTCATTTCATGTTGTGTTATATAATGTCTCTTGTTTAAACTGAACCTTAAGATTACCTTAGAGTTAGTTACTAACTTCTTCTGCTGCTTTGAATAATGCAGAAGCTGCATAGTGACCAGTGCAGTAACTTCAAGTCCTGTCTGGGACAGGAGGTTTTGCAACACCTGGGAGTTAGCAAGTTGCGCATCACAACCCTGCACCCACAATTGGACAGCATGGTCAAGCACTACATCAAAACAGGCAAGGAGCACCTGCAAGAAGTTGTCGCATCACACCAGAGGGATTGAGACACAAGATCACCCATCATCCTCCTCCTTGATTACAGGGCATTCACTCATGACACTACGGGCTTGACCCTGGCTAGCCTAATGTTCAGAAGAGAACTCCGACTGCTATGTAACCTGCTGTTTGGGACGCACCTCTGGAGAAGGAACGACCCACAATCAATCATGATGCAAATTTAGTGGATCATCTACACAACACCCACAGTTATGTCTGCCAACACCTGAAGCTGGCCAGTGACCAGATGAAAACTGATTACAGCAGACTGACCAACTCTGTGGGCTACCAGGAAGGTGACAGAGTGTAGCTGTATCGCCCGACTCACATGAAGCAGAAGATACTCAAGCCCCAATCCTCATGGGAGGGCCTATACAAGGTAGTCACCCAGATAAATGATGTATACAGGATTCAGTGGAACCATAGATCGAGGTTTTTGGCGGTACACCTGGATCGGCTTGCACCATATTAGGGAACTGCTTGGGATGAGCAGCATTAAGAAGGGAGCAGTTGGAGAATAATCACCATGAGAATCACACCATGGGGAAGGAAGGTGAGGCAGAGCACAGACATTGCAAATATAGCCCTCAGAAAAGAAATGGTGGTAGGCCTGTAAGCCATATGAGACAGATTTCCTTAAGGAGGGAGCAGTGTGGCATGTGGACCCATCGCTAGATAACGGCTCTGCCAACAGGCAGGAATGCAACAAGTGCCCTGTAACAGAGGAGTTGTGTTTTCTGTGTGGTCCATGCCCAGGAGAAGTTACTGAACAGTGTCAGTCATTGGAGTTAGTATAGTGGAGTTGGTGAAGTAAAGATTATTTTGGTGAGTGAGTGTGTGAATTAGAGGACTGCTGCAGTTCAATTATTGTGAGCTGTTGCTGTGAGAAGCTTGTAGCTAAGTCCTGGGAGAGTTTGGGAACCTTGAGGAAGGGAAACATCTGCCATTGAAGTTGTTATCAAGCAATGGCTAGTGAAGACTCTAACAGACTCAGAAGCCCTAGTGTGTCCTATAGTGATCTGTGAAGTGTGTAGAACATGAGAGCATAATCCTTGCTTGTGGTTACAAGTTTTAAGAGTTCAGTAAGTCTGATTACCAATCCAGATCTCATCTGTAATCACACTCATATGCATAACAATATCTAATGTGATTTCTACTATTAAATTTTTTACACTGGATGGCTTGCTGTTCCAATAATTACTAAAAGTTTAAGGGTGAAGAGTTCACATACTACATGAAAGAAGAAGAGGAGGTCTGATGTTGTTTCCCCCCTTCAGAATGCATGGTTCAAGCATTTTGTAAGCACTGGTATCTTTTCGTATAAAAAGTTTTGAGTTTTGTCTACTTCAGATTTGGTTTAATATATGTCCATAATATCTTGAAAACTCCAATTGTAATCAAATTATTATGTCACTTTTAGTTATTATAAGGACCCGGATTTTGATGACCTGAAAATATTTAAAAAATGACCGAATAAATGCAGAAAAATGACCTAAAATATGACCCAAAAATGTAATATGCAGGGCCCAGATTTTGATGACCTGAAAATATTCAAAAATTGACCTATAAAATGACCGAAAAAATCCATAAAAATGACATAAAGGAGAAAAGAAAGAACACTTCGCTGCCATATTATTCACATTTCAGAAAACATATGGAGAAAAATTCCCTAAAATGGCCAAAAATGACAAGAAATACCCTTAAAAGTCCAAAAAATTACCCCCAAAAAGAAAAAAATGACCTTGAACCTAAAAATGTCAAAAAATGACAAAAAAATACCCATAAAATTTACATTTCTGTAACCAGCAGCTCATATCCGAGATTTATATATTTAAGAGCATTGCATAGGATACAAGGAAAAAAAGATGACATGTCATCAAAATCCAGGCCTTGGTTATTATTAAAAACCTTTTTGTGTTATGGTCCAATGTGAATAGTTTAGAGCTATTTAGAAATGCTTAAAGTACAGGGTTTTCTTAAGGTCTTCTAGTCTACAGTCCTTTCTGGTCTCCAAGAGTAATATAAATCCTGCACCTTTTCTGTTTCAACGTGAAACTTTTTTTGAAAACCAGTTTTGATCCGCACTTGCATTGATACAATGGCAAGTCAGTTGCTTGAGTGTACAGGAAGAGTGTTCTCAGTATATTGTATAAATCAAATAAGATCGTTTTGTGTCGTTCCAAAATAGTATTCCAGCAACTTAAAACTTAGAGAAACAGGTTACATTGATCCCTTTAATGCCCAATAACATATACTTGCAGATTATGCTACTGATTTCTATGTATTTTTATGAATGAAGGTATGGTTTCTGTTGTTCAAGGTTACTTAAGTAAGGGAATATTTGTTTCCTAGTTTTAGGGACAGTAATACTTTTAAGTCAAATATAAATACAATTTACCTTGAACACTGTCAGCATGTGTTTATTTTGGAGCTTTTGACATAATAATATGAGAAGTTCTTCATTCAAAAAGAGAAGAGAGAGAGAAAGAGTGCGTATGTGCATGTGTGCATGCAGTTTGGATGCTAATGAGTTGATTGCTGTCTCTTTAGGTTTTGTTTCTTAGAATATAGGAATGCATTCTTATTTTCTTGAAGAGACAATCTTCTAGTCAACATCTGTCATCTATGCATTGCACAATTGTTCAGGTTCATGTGCTGGTTCAGCAGGCATAGCATTACATTGTTGACAATATAAATCCTATTCCTGCGCAGTTCAAATCTGGCCCTATCACCACAATGGCCGGAAATTTAAATCCAAATGATGAAGGTCAATGGACAGTCAGAATCTTTCATGTCTAACATAGAGATTTTGGAAGAATGTTTTCTACACTCATTTTATGTTTTCATATAGACACTAGACATGAACAGAATGTGACTGCTATTTTCCAGCTTAGATGTGTGCAGTAGGCAAAGTTTGGTTCGTTGGTAGATATGAATGATATGGTGATATGTTGCAGGTTGATGAACTTACGCGTTTAGCACCTGAATTGTTTCTTCAGAAGTCAACACCGGATTCATCTTCAACTTCATCTCTGTCCCAGCCAACACCTGTTGCACCTAAGAGACTGAAGGTATTGAATCATATTACAGTTTGAGGTTCAGTTATGTTTATTGTGCCAGAGAGATGACTTTTAATTTAAAATATAGTGTTTAGAATATTCTTTTTCAGCTCCTCAGGTTATAACTCCTGGTCAGTTCACTTGTATGTACTATTAATACACTTCACTGGAATGTAAATCATGTTCCATCTAACATGTTCCATCACATCTAACATAATAAAGGAATATGGAAGAAAACAAAACAATATACATAGTATACAGTATCTGAAAGTATAAGGCCTACTCGGTTTTGAGTATTCTACAATGTCATATTTTAGCATATAATTGATATATCATTTATACTGTAGTGATATACAGTACTACACCATGCTTACTCCTTTCTTCCATAAAAGTTATGTTTCATTATTGTGTTAGATGAAATTAGAATATAACAGGTTGAAACGTGGATAGACATTTTATTTGAATTTGATTTCCTAACTATGGTTATTTCTGGATACTTTGGCAGTATATTTCTGATCCAGAAAACTTGAGAGGTACCTCATCTGCTATCTACAAGTAACAGCTACATTAATCCTAAAAGGACTGTGTTTGTCCGTTATTATTATTATTTTTCCTTGATGGAATAGTAATTCACAGAAGCCATATGTCTGCCATTGGTGCTTGTGAAATATAATTAGATGTAATGCAGCTACTACGTCTTACCACAGTAATCTGACTCCATAGTGCCAAAACCTCATAGTTGCCCTAACTGATTTGGAAATGACCCACCTTTATATAACCAAAAAGGAGGATTCATTATTGTATCCACAACGGTCTCCCTCTGAAGCCAGTCTGAGCCAGTTGAATCTAGTCCACAACCTCACATACTACTTCTTTTCCAATTTAATATTATTCTCCCATCAGTGCCTTAGTATCACAAGCAGTCCCTTCCCTTTAGATTTTCCAGCTGAAATTTTGTGCTCTCTTCTCATCCTGCATGTGTTTTGCATGGTTAGCCAGTGCCACCATCCTTTATTTTGACAAGTAAATAACATTTTATGCTTTACTAATTGTTCCTGCACATCTTCACTGAGGGGGCAGAATTTCACATCTCTGGACGTTTCAGTTGGCAAAACTGTATCATTCGAGGCTGTTAGCATCCCAGAGAACATGTAGAACATGAACAGGATAGTCCTAAAGTGAATATATGGTGTTCCCTAGCACATGAAAGCATCATCAGCCCATTTTTCTTTGATGAGAGCATCATTACAAGCAGTTCATTCCTAGACATGTTGGGAAATTATGCTCTTCTGTGGCGCAAAAACAGCAACATCCTTCTTCTTCAACTGGATGGTGCACCTGTTCATTTTGCTCACATTGTCCATGACTCTTTCAACATGAATTTGCAACATTGATGGACAGGAAGAGGAGGACCAGTTGTGTGGCCCCCTCATTCTCCTGAGTGTATTCTTTACCTTTTTTTCTGTGAGGTCATGTGAAAAGGAAGATGTACAGCCAAAAATGAATATGTTGGATGAAGTTAAATCATGGATCACTGCAGCAGTTGCAGATGCTACAAAGGACATTTTACAGCACGTCTGGCAGGAGGTGGTATGTAGAATTGATATATGCAGAGCTGCAGATGTGGCAGTGTAAAGAAAATGTTTCAGTTCATTCATTTATTCATTCAGTTGATGAACAGAATGCTGGTCTGGTCAAGTGGGATTCGTGGTGGACAAAGTGGCACTGGGGCAGCTTTTCTCCGAGTATTTCGGTTTCCCCTGCCAATCTTCATTCCACCAATTACTCCACAATCACCCTCACCTATCATCTGGGGCTGGTACAATAGGCCAGAAGTAGCCGCAGTACAAGGGACTTAGTCCCACCCCACTAGCAATAAAAAAAAATTCATTTAATCTGTTGTTCGCAATCTTGTCTGTAAAATATCTTCCATTCTTATGTTTGCATTAAAATCTTCAAACAAAATGTTAATTTGTTACATGGAGGAATGCTCAGTTGCATCCTCTGGTTCCTCATAAAAACCTATTATCTTTATGAACATTTCATCCTTAGATTGGTGTATGATCATTTAGGAATCATCTGTGAGTTTAATGTTGTCCTTATCTTGTGTCACCCCTGTGATCCCACTGAATTTCAGTTACTTTGCTAATTCTCTTGCTACTGATTTAGTGAAGCTGCTGATATGCAGTTTATAAATCTCATATACATTTCCCATTGCTTAAAACTTTCTGAAGAAAGCGTTTGAATTTGTGACTGCTTGTGAAATTTCCTAATATGCAGTGTTTCATGTTCTGGAATTGTTAGCCCTGCCCAACTGGAAGGCTGCCTTATGTCAGCTGTCCATAACTTCTTATTCAGCATGTCTGAAGCTATCCCCTCTGTCTGCAATCTGAGGATGTGCCATGGCATGATGTCAATTTATCTGCTTAACATGGACCAGATTATTCTATAAATTATATATTTTATATATATCAACTGCCTTTTTTTTCTCATTGGTTATTTAATTACAGCTTCTATAACTTCGTGCTTATGAAAATTATATTTTTCAGGGTCCAAAATCTCGAGAATCATCAAGAGAATCTTCTCCACAATTACAAAGGAAGGATTTCCAAAAAGGTGGAGTAGAAAATTTTGCAAATCATCTTATTTAATACTTTCATAATTAACCTCTTACTTGAGCTCTGTTTTAGTGCAAGTCTCACCCTAACTTGTTTGCCTAGCTGTAAAAGAATTTACAATATGAAGAAAGCAGTCTTCTGGGATTTGGCACTGTGTATATGTGGTGTTAACCGACGTTTCGGAGGAACGTATCGCCCCCATCTTCAGGGTTGAAGGAAAAATATAAGAAATCCACAAGCGAAGAGACCGTGAGTGTGCTTTTACCGGTTCTCACGGTCTCTTCACTTGCAGATTTCTTATATTTTTCCTTCCATCCTGAAGATGGAGGCGATACGTTCCTCCGAAACGTCAGTTAACACCACATATACACGGTGCCAAATCCCAGAAGACTGCTTTCTTCATAGTCACCGCTGTGAAAGCCTCAAATCTTACATAATTTACAATATGTCACTTATTCCTGTTTACAGAAACTTCAGTAGACCGAAAGCTTCAGCTTCAGTCAACTGTTCAGAGACTATCTGAAGTTACAGAAGAGTTGCGCCGATTCCAGAGGCTCAGTGAAGAAGAGCGGGACAGAGAACGAGCTAAAAGGATGTTAGGATTGAGAAGGTCTGTATTGACATTAAAACTATTTTTTTATGAGTTTAATTATGAGTGTTATCTGTGCCAAATAGGATGCACATCACTTTACCTGTGTTTTACAACTGCAGTATATCCAGAGTCATCTTAAATGTATGTACCATATTTACATGAGTAATTTACATCTCCGCGTAATTTAGACACTTCTAGACAAGAAATTTTATTGGAAAATTAGACATATATATGTCTACCCTTGATCAAATTTTGACCAACGCATGATTTTCATGGAAAATATGATGAAAGCAAAGTATGTTAACAGATTAATCAGCGAAGATCAAGTGGAATTTTCGTTTGAATATTTTTTCAAAGAATTATGTGGTGGAGTCTGTAGTGTGAATATGTATACTGTGTTGCCTTATCACATTCAACTTTAATTGCATTTTCTACAAAAGTTATGCTGTAACTGCTTACTTCACGGAGGTGGATGGTGATCACTTATTTTTCCTCCTCCAGTGACAGGATTGCTTGTAGATTATCAGGATCATGAGGAAGTATAGAAAAGGGATTTTATCTGGGTTTCTTGAGGTGACAGACATTTGATATGGATTGACAACCACTTCCTTCCCTCCTCTTGATAAGTGGACCTCAGCTACAAACTCAGGAAACAGTCAACTCGTACCAGGGTGTTTACACTGGCAGTGATTTAGGGAAGCAGAGGCAGCACTAACTTGTTGGATAAATCACAACCCAGGCAAAAAGCACTTATAGTTTATTCACTTATGCATTCTGACATGATAACTGAAAGCTGGAATAATGGAGCCAGAAGAAATTGTCTGCTGCTAAATAATGACTAAATAACCAAGTATTGCAGCAACAAATAAACGTGCAATGGACTGTCTGAGATGGTGTTTTCTATGTGATCTAACCAGAGGCTATATAAAAAGGGCCAGCAAAACAGTCATCAGTTGAGAGTCAGAAGTTGGAGTAATGATGTGGTTGGTTGGTTGTGCGGTCAGTCGGTTGATCAGTCAGTCGGTCAGGAAGTGAACACAAAAACAGAGGGCATTGATACATTGTTAATAAATAACCTGATGATGATTTGCTACAATTTTATTCTTTAAGGATCTTATTGTTTTCCTTAGAGCTGCTTCAACAGAATCAGATAATCCACCAGACTCCTCACTGCAGTCTAAGCCTCTTGTTCGAAGTGCTGCTGGCCTGCAGAAGAAGGGCAGCCTTTATCGCAAATCTCTTTCTTTAGAGCAGACAAGTGGACAAGATCAGGTACAGACATTTTTAAATGCACAAGAAATTTTAATCAAGTTTAGTTATGATAGCTGAGCCAGTACAGTAATCAGTTCACTCGGTGAATTGTCAGGTTACCTAGGGTGAAATACAATAGTACACAAATTTAATTTGCCTTCTATTAGGTAATTATTCAAAACACGTTGATTATGGTTTTATGTGACATGTCGATTGTTACAGTACCAGGCCACGTGATAGTGTTCATTTCATTGCACTCGAACAAGGATACTTCGCATTACTTCACTTGTTTAATAATAATACTGTGTGGGAACATCCCACATTATCACGCATTTCTGCAACGCTNTTAATAGTGTTTTTGTTCCTACCTACTACATGTTTCAACCCTGTTTCTGATTCGTCTTCAGGTGGTACACACTTAAATATCAGTCATCATGCCATGCAATTCGTTATTGGACCATATGATAGGTATCCAACTGGATGATATTTATGAACAGTGGACATGTGTTCTGTTAAAATGTATGGCATTGTGATTCGGATGGTTGATGTTTAAATGTGTGCTGCATGAATATGACTTAGAAATAGGATCAAACAAATGTTGTGGACTTGAATAAAAACACTATTAATAAAAGGTAATTGTGTTCATGGTATTATCATGATTTAGGGGTGTGACTATAGACGGGGTGTGGATTGGTGAATTGGATTTAGTGACCACTTGTGCACACCACTCGGAACTACAAGTAATTACATGGCTATCACTGATCTTCACTTGTTACAAATCACTGCATGCTTAGTCTCTTCTCAGCCTCCTGCCTCTCAAACAGCCGTTCCCTGGCAACAGCTTCTAACATTGGAGACTCTTCAGCTTCCCGTGCTCATGTCGTTACTTTCTGGCAAATTTCCTGCTACTGAACCCACTCAGAGTCAGACTCAGTCAGGCTCAGAGTTATCTTATGACTGGTGGTTTACTGCCAATCAGTTAATCTTGGCGCCAACTGCCTTGAGACCCACAACCACTATATTTTTTCCAACTGAACAGTTGTAGTTATAGTCCTTATGTAACATCCTCCATGATGAGAGGATATGCATGCCGTTTACAATTGCTGCTGGCCCTAGCCAGTGCAGTCATTCTCAGGTTCGAGTCCTGCAGGACAAATGGCCATATTTTACTGTCTCAGATTCGAGACTCCACCAGCCTGGAGGGCCAGGTCCCCATAATTATATCCCTCAGGAGTAGGTTGGCCCAGTTGTACTCCTAGGCATTGGGTTTCCTTTGAAGTCACTCAGCCAGCCTTGAGTCCTTGCTGTACAGGGTGTTTCACGACTTTAGGACATAACTGCAGGAGGTGATTTCCTAGGTCTTTGTGATCAAAAAAATTCATATAAACCTATGTCCGATTTTGGATGGTCACTGAGTTATGACCGTTTTAAACTCAGAATAGAAGGTAACGATTACTGACAATAAACGGAACAAAATAATAAACCAGCATAATACATGATACATTTAAAGTATGAATGTAAAGTTATCTTTGTGAAAGTACTTTTAATTTGAATTGGTTGGTGCTTAAAGCTGATTATCGAAATTGCCACCACCGGCCGCAACACAGGCTGCCGCTCGGTTGTGAACAGCGCAGGTAGCACGTAGCAGCTTCAGCTGGCTCTTTCTTATGTGGTCAGCGGCGTCCAGAATGTGACCGAGCAAAGCATCTCGCGTTGCCACCTTCACATTGTAAACCAGTTCTTTCATCCATCCCCACACACAATAATCCAGTGGGTTTAAGTCTGGAGACCTGGCTGGCAATTCTTCGCGTACTCGTATGTGGACTGCAGTGTACAATACGAACAATGCCTTCTTCATTGACGCCTTCATTAACACCACGCTTGGCTGCAATACGAACGCCGGGCAGTCTACCAGTATCTCGCAATGCCTGGTAAACTCCAGTAAACACTCTCCGGTTCGGTATTCTATGATTCAGAAACCGTTGCTGATATCCAGCTATGGCAAGAACTGAGTTACCATCACAAAACCCATACATATAAATCATATCTGCATACTTGTCAAATGAAAATGTAAATGGCATCGTGGACGTAACAGACGCACTGAGATGAGAACTGTTCTGAACACCAGTAGCCACCACACTAGCCATGTGTCGAGATAAAACAAGAACGCCCTGTCTGTAGCTGGCTAAAAATAGCAACCCGCCAGATGACAGATGCAGTTCACACGAGGGCGTGTACGGGAATGAAAAAACGGCCATAACTTCGTAACCATCCATAATCGGACACATGTTTATATGAAATTTTGGTCACAAAGACCTAGGAAATCACCACCTGCAGTTATGCCCTAAAGTCGTGAAACACCCTGTATAACCTCATGGCAGAACCAACAGAAACACTGCCTCCAACAGTTTTTCTATTGTTGTTATGGGTGATTGCCTAGCGATAGCCCAGATATCATTGACGTGTTTACTGACCACTACCAAGCAATTCAATTTCATTCTTGTGTTTATTGCATAGCAACGGTATTACACACTACAGTATTATAGAAATTATATGTTTATATGTTTTTACCATTCATGAATGTGTTCATTGCAAAGTCTTCCCGTACAGACAAACTGTGAACTAACATTTCTGTTCAGGATATATTATATATATAATGGGGTCAGTCTACACAACAATATTTCTGAAAAAAACAAAATAGATACTGCTGGATCGACATTTGTTTATTGGCTGTTGACGCTACATGTTTCAACCCTTATGTTGCATCATCATCAGGCATATAATAACACTAACATTATTTCTGGAATTGTGTCTTATACGTTATGGATCCATATTGTGTTCTTGTAAGTTTTATATACATAATTCAAATTTATAGTTAAACGGTAAAAGTTAAAATTAAAATTGAAATTAAAATTGCACAGAAATATTTGTAATATATATTATAAACCTCTTTAAAACTTTGTGACCGTTACATGTTGATATATTGTTCCAGGTTGTAGGAATAATTAAGTTGTGGGGTGCCTGTGTGCCGAGATCTTCCTTCATAAACTGTGTCATGTTGGTTTGGCCTTCCTATTGTTTTATGAAGCTTATGCTTGTTATGCTGTGTATCACTCAACAGGCTGTTTTACTTGGAGTATGTATTCTAGGTTTTTTGGTGTTATAGATGAAAGCAGTTCCCCGTGATGATATTGTTATGTCGTAGCAGTCTGAACCTCTACAACATAACATCATCATGGAGATCTGTTTTCATAGGCTACACCTACCAAGTTCAAAATACAGAACCTCTGCAAATGCTTCATCAAATTGAAAATTATTTGAACACATAAATTTTTGTACTAAAATTATTATGTGTTTCTTTGTTTTAACTATCATCTCTTCGCTCATTATTCATCAGTCCATCTGGAAGGGAGAGTCAGACAATGAAGGCAGTCTTTCAAGTCTCCAGTCACTGGAAGCTGGTGCAGAGGCATTTCCAAATAATCAGTTCTTCACACTTCAGAAACGGGAATCTAGCACTGACAGGTCAGTTACTACTTCATATGTTTAGATTACTAAACTGGTATAGGTGGCCCAGACACCTTATTCACTAAAGTCCTTAAGTCTGAGATTTGCTGGATTCAGTGCAGTTCAGTATGCTTTGCCTATGCCACCTCAGTCATTGATACAGCATAACAAGAATATGGGGAATATCATGCTGCCATTGTAGTGAGAGTCCACATTAAGCTGTGGTATCCTTCTGCTGCCCTTCATCTTTAGTCACCCCATGGAAACTAGATTCCTTCAGCCTGGTCAATGGGTCTGACATCAGAAGGCCTAAATATCATAATCAGAAGCATACCTATCGAACTACCTCCATGGAACAGAGGAATGTTTCTTGAAAAGCTAATACTCACTCAATTGGTCTGTAAATTCTGTCCTGTTATCAAACCCAAATGATTGTTTCTGTGTTCCCAAGAGCCCATGACTGGACCCTACCCTAAGCCAGGTAAATCCAGTCCCCATACTTACTCTTATTTCTGTGTGATAAATTTTATATTGTCTCAGCTTTTGGGGCCTATGGATTGTACCTATCTTATGAGATTCCATTTCTCCTGTCCATGTGTACTACAGACATATTGATGTGAAGGCAGAAAAAATGACCAAAGAATTTTATTGACAAGGTTTGACAAATAAATTCTGGTAATGAGCCGATTACACACTTTTAAAAGCACGTAGGAACGTTTTTCAAATTGTCCACGTAAGCTGACTCTTCCATCATGTTCCCTGTACAAGGTCAGTTACCGCTCGCTCTTATTGTTCCTGTAGAATTGTGTTTAAGATTTTCTACCATACAGGTCATCGTGACAGATAGTAGTGATGGAGCAAAGAGTGAATGTTAGATTTTGTTTCAAAACAGCAAAACTGAAGTTTTTCAGCTGATAAAACAGTCTTGTGATGACAGTGCTGTCTCTCAACACAGGCTTTTGAATGGTGTGCAAGATATCGGGACAGCCATGCAAGTTTCAAAGATGCAATGGATGACCAACAGCTGTGTGAACACCAGACATGATTGAAATAGTTTGGAAATTTATTTCAAATAATAGTCTAATGACTCATCGGGTAATAAAAGAGGAACACGAAATTACAGAGAAACAGCTCGCAAAATATTAGTGGAAGATATGAGCTATATTTGTTCCACACACTTTAACTAATGAATAGAATGCTCTCAGCCTGCAAGCTTGTCAAGAGCAGTCAAGTGCGTCAGTCTGTGGATGATGAACGTTCCTTGCTTGATTCAGTTTTGGTGTTTCCAGTATGATCCCAAACAAAAAGCATGAAATGGTGCTCGCCAGCATCCTACCGCACATAACCTACAATATATGTAGCAGATTTTATTCAAATTGTTGGTGCCAATATTGACACAAGTCCAGTAGTATTTAAGCTGGTGATATCCTTGAACAACTTTCATTAATGTGAAGGAACCTGCTCTTACTAGCCACCATAATGCTCAGAAAAGAGACGCATCTTTGTCTCTTTTAAATGTCCTTTCCATTTTCCTGTTTAACAATCAGAACTACTTCTTGTTTGATGTGGTGCTTGCATACCAGTTTTCTGTAGAGCTATCAGCTATTGAAATATATCAAGGACTTTTTAAATGTGACGTGGTATAACATTCACTTTCCTCTGTGTTTGTTAGCTAGTGTAACAGCCACTGAAGTAGGAAAATGGCTTTCTGCCATAAGTGTGTTGCCATTGTCATTTTTAGATACTAGTTGGTATAGCAACTGGCTACAAACTAGACAACCAGGGGGTCAGATTTTGAGTCCCAGTAGGATCAATAATTTTCTCTTCACCATGTCATTCAGACCAGCTCTGGGGCCCATCCAGCCTCCTATCCAGTGAGTACCGAGGGCTCTTTCCCTGGGGGGTAAACAAGGGCATGAAGCTGACCACTCACCTCCAACTAGTGTCAAGGTGAAGAAAATATGAACCTATACATCCGTTCCCCCATACGCCTTCATGGTGTAGTGCTTAAGTAGTTAAGAACAGGAACAGCTTTACCTTTACCTTCTAGTAAGGTCATATATCTTCATAGGAGTCACTTTTCAATAACGTATATTGAGCTGGGACAAGTCAGTCATAAAAGTGACTGGCTATACAGATTGAAATACAGAATGCATGGAGCTTTTCCTCCATGTTCCTTTCAGCTTGATAGCATAGTAGACAGTCACAGCATAAAATATATCAATTATTATAAAGCAGAATTAATGCATCAATAAAATGAAGATTCCCAGATATCTGTTTTTATGACATAAACTACCAATGACCTGATGTAGATAAGCTGCTTGTCTTGTGTTATGTTGTTAGTAACGCCCTGAAAAGTTGGTAGTTACCCAGCTTGCCAAGAAATTCTCCACTTTTATGGGACCCAAGGATTCATCATTATATGTATTCATAAAAACTTGCCAATTGGACCTCTTCTCAGTCAGTCCAGTTCAGTCCACAGCTTCACACCTTATTCCCAAAGACACATTTTTATATCTTTCTCTCACCTGTTGTTGGATCTTGTAAACAGTCTTGCCAGTTGAGATTTTCTGACCATTAGTCTGTATGCATTTCTCATTTTATAAATGCATGCTACGCCTTGTTTCCATCTCATCCTTCCAGATTTAATCAGCCCAACAGTATTAGATGGAGAATACACACTATGAAGTTTTGCATTATACAAGTTTCTCCAGTCCTTTGTTACTTCAGCTCTCTCAGACGCAGATATTTTCCCTAGCACTTTATTTCCAGACACTCGAAATATATATCAGTCTACATTCTATCCTTAGAGTGAGAAATCAAGTAGACAGAACAGTAGATAAAAGTACAGCTTATGTTTTTGTCCTTAGGTCATTATGTAGAACACAGGAGTGTATTATGTTCTGAAAGTTGTAATTAAGAGTGATGTTCATCTTTCAGCCGCCTCTCTGGAGGTTCAACACAGAGCGATGTGCTGCAATCAAAAGAAAAGAAGAAAAAGAAGGGTCTTTTTGGTAAACTGAAGAAACTTACCAAATCACGCAGCATTGATGATGGTGTCTCAGAATACACAATAGGAATGAGTCAGGTAATCATGGAAATGAGTGATTATATTATAATGACTACTGAAATAAGCTAGATATCTTTTCCTCTCTCTCTGTGGCTCTTGGCTGCTTTTTGGTTTCTTAATCCTATATACATTTGGTAGGACTCCCTGGACAGAGGATCAGGCCATTACAAGGATGCTACCTACAGAAAGAACAACACAAACAGAATAAACGCACACAGACATCCGAGCTTCATGTGGGATTCAAACCCACAATCCCAGTGTTCGAGTGGGTGAAAACAGTTTATGCCTTAGACCACACAGCCCCTGTGATCGGCAATCAGCTAGATCAGTGATTCCAGAATTAAGTTCCATAGAACACTGTATAAATAATGGAAATCTAGTGAGCCTAGTGATTAATTTATCCAGAATTTATTAAATTGCTTTTGATTCTTTTTTTTATATTTTTTAATATGTGAATATGAGGTAACCCCATAATTCTAAATAAACAAACAGGAAAGAAAACCTTTCCATAGGTTTGAGTAACTAAATTATATAATATGTGAATGTTTCTGAACAGGGTGGATCTGGATCAGATGTCAGTATGTCAGAAGACAAAGGAGGAATGAAAGATCGTCTTACTGGCATCTTCAGAAAGAGTGGTTCCACATCCAGAGATAGCAGGTAATGTGTAATGCATCAAACTATTTTTTGAAAGTAGTGACTTCTTCTTAGAGACCTGTATAGAGGAATAAATGACTTTAAGAGGGGTTACCAAACTAGTAGTAATTTAGTGAAGGATGAGAATGGAGATCTGCTTGCAGGTTCCCACAGTATTTTGAATAGGTGGAAAAACTACTTTTCTCAGTTATTCAATATACATAGGGTCAGTCATGTTAAGCAGACAGAAATCCATACAGCTGAGCCATTAGTACCTGAGCCTGGTCCTTTTGAGGTTGAAAGTGCTATTGCAAAATTGAAACGGTATAATTCGCCAGGTAGTGATCAAATTCTGACAGAACTTATTCAGGCAGTGGAGGGCTCTTGTGAACATGGTAATGAACTCTTGGGTTCCATAAAATGCTGGGAAATTTTTGAGAAGCTGCAGAATTGGCGGCTCCTCAAGAAGGGCTCAGCTTCATGAGTAAATTAGTGACCACTTCATGGTTTATCGGTCACATCTTTATGGAATAAAATGCCTGTGTTTCAGATTATTTTCACTGTCTTTATATCCATGTTGTATTGGTATGATGAGTGACTTATTTGATGGTGTGTATGTGTGTGTGTGTGTGCATGTGTGAGAATGAAAGTGAGAGTGAAAGATAAAAAGAAGTCTCTCTGAATTTATTTTTTGACTTCATTGCCTCATTTTTAGTTTTAACTTATTTATCATCATTAGGACTGTCAGCACTTTTAGTTGATCAACTATTCATAATCATTCAGGAAATTGATTAATTTACTGATTTCACTGGAATTGTTATAAAGAACTCTCAGCTCATGAATATAAATAGATACATCCTATAGATTCTTGTAAGCAGAATTAGGAACAAACACTCTATAACTTCAGAATCGGAGAATATGGTAACATAATTTTGGTAGTGGCATCTGCTTGCCACAAATGTAATGCCTATCCCACAAAGATAGGTGTAACAGGTGTAATAGTTATCCTGGCATGACTCAGTTTCTTCAGTTATGTGGTGGCATTTCCTCCACACTAGGTGTAATGTTTATACTATCATGATTTGGTTCCTGGAATTAAGTAGAACTTGTATCTCTTCCACAGCAGTTTCCTACATACCAGGTAACAGTTATATCACCATGACTTTTTTCCCTGAATGTATCTCAGACTTAATATGAAGTAAATCAGTTCTGAGAAAAGATGTGGAGGTAATGGAAATTCCGTCATGATTTACTTTTTTGTCACTTTACAGTATGGAGCGCAGTCCAGCAATACCAGAGCGTACAGACTCAACACAGAGACCTCTTGTGAAACAGAGCAGTAACAATACTTTGCCACGGACATCACCAGCTGTAAGTTACTGGTTTTTTAATTTTGTAATGTCAGTTTTCTGCAGTAATTATTAGTGATAAGAATTATTAATATCTTGACCATTCTAGTGGCTATACATAAGCATAACATACCATCAGCCTGCATTAAGGCTTTAAGTAGTGTTGTAGTCTACCAGTGTATAGAAAATGTATCCTTATGGAAGAGTGGAAACTAGAACATGTATTTGATAAATTCCCCAAGTACCCTATGAAAATATTGTTAGGAGATTTCAATGCCAAAGTAGGGAGGGAAGACATTTTCAAACCAACAATTGGGAATGAGAGTTTGTATGAAATTAGTAATAATAATGGAGTTAGAGTTGTAAACTTTGCCACATCAAAAAATCTTACTGTCAAAAGTACAATGTCCCCACATCATAACAGCCATAAATTTACTTGGACATCTCCTGATGGGAAGATACACAATCAGACCATATTTTGATAGATAGGAGACGGCACTCAAGTATACTTGATGTCCGATCATTCAGGGCAGCAGATTGTGATACTGACCACTACCTGGTGGTTTCAAAGGTTAGGGAAAGACTGGCAGTGAGCAAACAAACAACACACAGAGTTCATATGGAGAGGTTCAATCTCAAAAAATTAAATGAGATAGAGGGTAAAGAGCAGTATTGTGTTGAAATCTCAAATAGGTTCATGGATTTGGAAAACTTGGAAACTGATGTGGATGTCAATAAAGCCTGGGAAACTATTAGAGAGAATATAAAAATATCTGCCAAAGAGAGTCTAAGGCCCGTATATAAGTCAGCATGTCAAACAGTTAATTGTCCTCTATTATTCTGTTACCCATTGCAGCAGAAACATCTGCAACAGTTCCTCTGTGACTCTCTTTTGTTGTCAAAGGAATCTTTTGTTTAGCAACTTGCTACCTGACGACGACTCATTTGCTGCTATTCATTGTGTCAGAAATGTGATTTCCTAGTTATTGCTCAGCATTGGACATCTCCTCTGGCTCAACTATTCCAGCTTTCAGACCTCATGTCACATTATATTTAGTTCCAGTCATAATGCACAAATAATTGCCTCATTCACAACATAAAGGATTAATATTTCTTATACTCTTTGCAGAGAAGTGATGTAAGTGCATCAAGCAGCTCCCGACCACTAGCATCATGTGCCACACGATCTCAATCACCAGCCACTTCCAGCACTCCATCACGAGGCAGGAAATAGAATACAGAGCTCCATATTCATCATGCAGTTCATCTTCTGAGAAACTGAAGTTACCAAGCAGCTGCATGAGACCTCTAGTGGATGAACTTTCCTCCTGTAATTTTCAGTTTGACTTATAAATGAATGAAATTGCAGGGAGTTTGGCCATGATAATATTGTTTTGCACACACAGCATTGTGTAGGAATGGAGTAAGAATACAAATTTACAGTGTGCTGCAGCTTCTGTGCACCTATTTCCATCAGGTTTAAAGTTTGTCACTACTCACTCAGTAAAAATATTTAGGAGCGAGGTCCATATTCTATATACATCACTGACAAAGTGATGAAGGAAATGGGATTAGGTCTTGGGTTAATAATAAGTTTCAATGAACTGAAATGATCATAGCTGGTTAGTAAGGAAGGATTTTTAAAGAGGTGTTCATGGCCCATTTAATGGTCTCTCTTTGACATACATCTTGAGAGATTAAGGAAAACCCCAGAATAGCCAGTAACCTGGCAAGAGTCAAACCAAGTGTCTTCCAGATACAAATCTTATGGTGTTGTGGGGTAGTCCCACCTTTTCCCCCCAAATTAATATCAGCATGCAAGAACAAGACACTGATGTAGACATCTGAGTAGATAGAACGTGTTTTGTAATTGCTACAGTAAACCAGCTAGGCCTAATATTGAAAGATGCTGCTGCAGCTCCTGATGATGATGGTATGATGGTCTATGTTAAGTATTATGCTTACAAGCCCTGAAGATTATAAAAATCAATTCAATTCCGTATCAGAAACTGTAACTGGAGCAGGAGGTAGAGGAATGAAAAGAAAGGACAAGTGAACAGTATTAAGATTGAATAGTTCTATCTGCTGGCATATAGTGCCATGTAGTCTGTTGAAAGTCAGCCGACATTTCAAAGGAAAATATTCCCTCCATCTTCCTGTTTTGGAGAATAAGCCAATCAAGAGACCAGCATGAAGCAGGTAGCTAGTTTATTGATCAGCTTATTTTTCAGTGCTAAAAGTGAAGGCAACAAGCAAGAAACCAGCATGAAGCAGGCAGAAAACTCTTCTGCTTTCTTACTTAACTTGGCTTATTCTTCAATCCTACAGATGGAGGTAACATGTACCCCCAAAACGTCTGTAGACTTCAATGGACTACACAATATTACATCCCAGAAGATAGAACTCTCCATAACCACCACTGTGAGAACCTCAAATCCTACATAGTATTCCGATTCATGAATGCACAAAAGTCAACCATTAACTTGAATTTTCAAAACATTGCTTGTCTGTGTTGACAGTGAAGGATGACTGCATATTGTGCCAGCATCAATTATGTTGAGTTTCTGTGTTCACAATTCTGCAATTCCACATAATGCTGAACCTAATAGCTGAAGTAAACTCAATCTGTACCAGTGGTTGGTGGTGGTATAATTAGTCTTGTCACTAAGCACCAAACCATAAAGGTGTATACGTGTAGTAGATGGAGGTAAGTTGTCAGCTTCAGACTGTGGTTGTTTTACTCCTGGAAAAATAACCCTCATCAGTATCCACTGCATAGGAGGCTGGGTAGACTGTGCAGTCAGTCTGGATTCCATGGTGAGATGAAAAATCATGCCACTGCCATTAATTAAATTCTGGTCATCCACCCAGCAGTCAGTGCCTTACTGGCTGAGCTGTTTCAGCTCATCACAAGTCAGAAAAGTCAGGAATTATAATTGTTGCATATCTGAAGATTGTGTTTCAGTCACAGTATCTGCGTTACACTTTTCTTACAAAATTAAAAACAATGTGTGGCACTTTCTTAATATACATGGGTCTTTGGACAGTGACATTAGAAGAGTTACAGCTTATATACTGTAAATACATTTAAAAAGTAAGGAAAGAGAAGTACAAATTTACAGTCTCTCAGTTTTACAGTCTTAGTCTTGTCTGCTATTAACTTCAAATTTTTATTTCAGATTGAATTAATGGAACAAAGTAGAAGTCTGAATGAATTAGTAACACTTCTATTTGAATTGATATTGTGATAAGGATCAACATTTTTCCAGGTGCTGTGAATGGTCACTGTGATCACTGATAGGTTGATCTTGCATTGTGAATTTAAAATGATTAGTACAGAGATTATTATTGTGAATATTGGAATACCCTATTCTGTACTGCATCAATCAGTGAAGAAATTCACAAAATACAATATATTATTTTCTGGAAGTTGTAAATAAAGCATTCAAAGTCACTCAACATATAAATACGCGCAGCATTTGTGTAGTGTAAAATCATACCACTGCCATTAATTAAATGCTGGTCATCCACCCAGCAGTCAGTGCCTTACTGACTGAGCTGTCTCAGCTCATCAGAAGTCAGAGATGTCAGGAATTGTAATTGTTGTACATCTGAAGATTATGTTGCAGTCATAGTATATATGTTACCTATTTCTTATAAAATTAAAAATAATACATATTATATTTACAGTCACAAAACAGACAAAGATGTCATGATTTTTTGTGTATGCCCCCATGTTTTAAATTACTGGGCTTGATTCTAGATACAGTTGGTTTATATTGTCACGTGTTGGGTATGTCACGCGACAAATAGCTTTATGTGGGTCTCAGATTTAGCAAATCTTTATTGGACACTCACACTTACACACCTTACAATTATTATCGTTTGCAATATCACTTGACTTGTGGCCCAATACTTCAATGTGACGTCTCAAATATCCTTGGCTGTGGTTGGATCTCAAATGCCTTTGGCAATGGCTATCTCAATACTGACTTCTTGCTGTCTTCTGTCTAACTAGCTCTGTAGTTCTCGGCTTATGTAGGCGTTCTGTGGACTGGATACCAGACACCATTGCTCACTGTTTCGTTTCTACTGTCCGCTGTTACGTAACGGGTGCAACAAACTCTCTGTAGTTCATTTCTGGGGAGACGCGTTCATGCTTCTGCATTGTCTATGCAACAGCTCCGTTCTTTGCGTTACCATGGAAGTGCGTATTCCAAACTCACGTGTTCGGCAATCCGTTGCCTTGGGAACGTTCCTTCGCAATGGTTTTGTTTGTATTTGATTTGTCGCTGTTGGAACTCAACAGTTTCCATTGTAGCCGTTGCGCAGCGATGGACATAAGGTAACATGTCACATTATGTTCTTTATTTGTTGATGATCAAATTATAGTTGCCTGTACAGAATAGAGTTTCCAGATGGCATATTTAAATGACAAAATGTAATTATAATGTGAAACTTTATGCCTTAAAACTGAAAATAAAAGAATTTAGAGGAAAATATACCCTATGACCAAAAAGTGTTTCTATAATAAAGTAATTGAAAAAGTATGGAATTGTTATTATTTACGCTGCAGGATAACATACGAGGGGGTACCCAAAAGAAACCGAACTTATTTTTTTTAAACTTATTTATTCAAATTTTAAGCACAAACCTTCAATCCCCTTCAAAGTACTCTCCACTTACACTAATACACTTGTCTAGTCTTTTATTCCATTTTTCAAAACATTGTCTAAATTCATCTTTTGAGATGCTTGACAGTGCCTCCGTCGTTTTTTCCTTCACCTCAGCAACATCAGCAAAATGCTTTCCTTTCATGTCTCTTTTCATTCGAGGAAACAAAAAAAAAGTTTTGATCATTTCAGGACTCTCCTTTCAAAGCACAGCATGCTTCCATACGACCTTGTTTTTGTTCAGCAGTCAGCAGTCGTGGCACGAATTTCGCAGCCACCCTTTTCATTCCCAAACCTTCTGTCAAAATTCGCTGAACTGAGCTCCAAGTCACTCCCGACAGCTCCACAATTTCTTCAATGGTCCGTCGTCAATCTTCCTTGATCATTTCACGAATTTTTTTCAACACTTTCACGTGTTTGGGCCGTGGAAGGATGACCAGAACGAGGTTTGTCATCAATTGGCATTTCACCATTTTTGAAACGGGAAAACCACTCAGACACTTGAGTTTTCCCCATAGCATCGTCCTTGTACGCCGTTTTTAACATTTCAAGAGTTTCTGTTCCACTTTTCCTGAGCAAAAAGCAGAATTCACCGCCGCACGCTGTTCACGAAAATCAGCCATTGCAAAAACGACGATCACACAAAACAGTTGTCACTATAAACTCTGCCGAAACTAGTCCTTACCTTCTGAAGCAACGGTAGTTGGCTTATCGACTCAGGAATGTTAGCTCTATGCACTCATAGCGGCAAAATGCGGTACTACAAAAGCTATGCCCACAAAAAAATTAGTTCGGTTTCTTTTGGGTACCCCATCATATAGGCTGTGTTAATATAAAACTGAATAAATTTCAACAAATCTTTGAAACTGTATAACGCACACTGTTCAGAAACTTCCAAAAGCAAATCTTGCTAAATTTCTGTAGAGTAATAACCATACCTCTGCTTTGATATGGATATGAATGTTGGACATTACTGAAAGAATGAATGAGATGAATAAAGGTGCAGACATGCATTTCCTCAAAACAGTTTCAGGGCACAAAATTTGGATCATAAACACAATAAACATACTAGAGATCAACAGAGAATAAATATAGTACTGAAATGTTGTATTAAACTCTCAAAAAGAAAAATTGCTGGAACATTTGAAAAGAATGTGTGAAGACTGAGTCCTGAAGCTGATCTATTAGGATGAACCAATGAACATACGATCTCAGGGATGTTTTAAGACAATACGGAATGATGATGATGATGATGATGATGACAACCTTTTAGTCTATGGGCTAATGCCTGTGGTTATGGCCTTCTAAAATACCTACTTTCTGTCTCCCGTGACAAAGGAGAGGAAGTCCGTTTTTGAGGTGGAGACATACGAGACACTCCACTGCTGCAAATGATAGAACAATGGTCAGTGGAGCAAACTTATGGCTTAACTTGGCTACAAGAACAGTGGTGAGTGGAGTCTAGCATTCCAGCACCCAAAGCTTTCATTTTATCAGGTGAGAAAAAGGACAGGCAAATATAAACTTTCCCATTTGTTAACACTCCATGCCATGGCATTGAGATATGTAGGAACATGGAAGTAAGTCTCCACACATTCTATATGCTGGCACTCTTATAGAGGTGAGTTATCAGCTTTGTGTTCTGGCTGCTTTTCCGCAGGGAAATGGCACCTATAGCGATTAGACAGGAGCCTTGGTAGGTTTCAGAGCCAGTTTTGAGTATTCTGACATGGAGAAAATTTCCCGTCTGTGCTGTGAATCTGCCTCCATACATTCTAAACTCAAGCACTTCATGGAGGTGAGTGATATCTTTATGTTCTGGCTAATTTATCTCCTGAGATGTAGCACCTATAGCTGCTGGACAGGAATCTGGGTGGGTGCTAGAACTAGTTTGAATGTGGTGACATGGAGAAAATCTCCTGTCCCTCCAAAGAGACTATGTACCTTTTTTTTTTCTATGCATATTTATCTCTATGCTAGGACAGCCATTGGTGATCATTTTGTGGAATAGAAAATTGAAATACATCTGCAGTATAGTGTATTAAAAAGGAATGTGGTAAGTTATCCCTATAACAGGTCATGGAGACCCATAAGGTTGTGAGGTGTTGAGGCTCCTAAATTTTCTAGACTGTTGGCTCACATATGGTGGCTAGGTTGTCAGTTTTATGTACCAGCCAGCCTTTACCCCCAGGAAGATCCCCGGTACTCACTCCTTACGTCTTCATGGGGTAATGCTTAACTAGTTAATTAAACACAGAGACAACTCCACATTTTACTCGTTATCCTATATATTGTATTACATAGTGTTTTTGTAGGCAATTTTACGACGCTGTTAGTAGCGTTGTATTGTAGGACGATTCATAAATTTGGCGGGAATTAGAGAGAAATTGTCATTGCCTAATAGTGGTGCTACCCTTGCGGGGGGAGGGGTTAACCAAGAAAACCCTCAATCAGGCTGACCAACGTCCCGGCAGAGATTCGAACCAAATATTTCCAGAATACAAGCCAATACTTGACACTATATTTTGCATTTAGTCTTCCCCAGAACCGCGTTTACAAATTATTGTTTCCATATAAACCTTCCGAATTTGACTTCTGTGGACACATACAGTACAATTTTCACAACTTATTTCACAACCATAATCAGGATGCAGGCATTAGCACATCGAGACTAATTTTCTCGCAGTGTCCAAACAGCGGATGAAGTCTCTAGAAGGCAGCGACAGTGAACTATGTTCCAAGGTCGTGTGTTGATTCGAAGGTTGTTATGCTATGATGTAACGTTGTATGAAAGTATTCAATTTTCTTCAGCGCCATGGAAAGTGCAACGGAGATGTATGTCTCGAGAATCCTTATCAGAGGCGTATGTCAGAACAAAACAAAAATGCGAATGTAAGTATATAAACACCAAGAATACACAAACCTATCATGAGCTTGGCACAGTGCCTGCGCTTCTGCTAGGGTCAGGGCTATATCTCTTTATGCCCTTGCTTACAGATTAAAATTCAAATTGCCGTCCAATTCACGTGTACAGTAACAAAAGTAAAATTTAAGAGAGTTTAAGAGTCAAGTGCTGCGAAGTTTCGGAATTTGTAATGCTATTTGTTACGAAGTAAGATTTGACTACAGCTGTAATCGTCGCGTACTTTAAATTAATATGTATGTGTACATATTTATACTTTATTTGTTGTGTGTAATACTGGATGTTTGATTAAATTAATTGAACACTCTTGAATATAAGGGATTATCTTTATATTTAAAATACAAACTCTGTTCAAAGCGAAATTGTAATATATTTAACCTTATGGATAAAATTGTGGTTTTAATAGTATTTAAATTGCCCCCCATTGTAGAATAAAGGTTCAGTCCTTGTAAATATGACGTTCAGTTAACACACGAATTAAAGAAAAATTTCAGAAAACCTTGGTGAAATGACAGAATGAAACAGGCCTTAAAGATGTTTTGTTTTATTGTGAGCATTTGATTTCTGCAGTTAATGCAGTTATGCCTTCCTAGTAGTTAATTATTGATGTTAATTCCGTTCTTGGGTTGTTATGTCTTGTGGATGTGGGCAATGCTTCCGGCGTTTCGGAGGTATATGCTGCCTCCATCATCAGGGTCAGGGTTGAATTGTGTAGGTTGGTGAACTTATGTATATATATTTATGTGTATGCGTGCGCTTGTGGCTTTCTGCCTTTAAAAGCAACAGGGGAAAGGGGGAGATACAATGAGGATTAATGCCTTATCTCGGCCACTAGGGATAATGTACTGGGAATGCCATGCAGATGGCCATTTTAGTCCCTGGGAGAGCATAAAGCATTGCACGGGCAACTGATGTTCCCAGGTGATCATCCATGCATATGACTCAAGCAGCCACTCTGTAGTAGTGTGGAAGAAATGCCTCTACCAGCATTTAAAGTTGTCTGTTTGGGGCTTTAGTGGGATAAGATTGTGTTTCTTTTTAATTTGTCTGTAAGGCAGCAGTCAAGTTGAGTGGGCAGCTCACATATCTTTTAAACACTAAGTATTAATTACGTCTCTTAATATAATTGCTTGTCCATCAGCACATTTGTTATTGAGGTCTGGAATTGTAATGACTAATCACATTTTGAAAATGTTGCTAGATACTAATAGTAGTGACCCAGATGACTGGTTTTCCTTTTTCCTCCAAAAAAATGATGTGATAATGCTCCATAGTGTAAAATATTTTTCAGACATCAAACGCTGTTGTTCATTTGGGCAACATATATGTTATTTTTGCAAAGATTGGTTTAATGCTGTAGGTCATATGCAAGAGCAATTTTGGCAAGGCCAGTTTTATACAGTGTAGTCAGTAATTCGTGAGTGAAGTAACCTTTTCTCTGATTACATATATTTTTGGTATTTGGTACTACATATCATTAGTATCACAGATGTTGCTTTGTTTTGAACTAGAATGTCTGTTGCACCTGGTTCCTCCTTGCCGTTTTTAAGCAGAGCAGTTACTGAACAGATCTCTTGATTTAGGTTACTGCTGAAGCAGTAACACTTCTGACATGTTCCTAATGGATGTCTGTATCTGAGCCTGAACACAAGCTATGTTGACTGAGGTTTCTCTTGGTTTTCATCAATCGCTCAGGTAGTGCTGGAATGCTGCCTCAGATTAAACCATGATCGCTTCTTCCTCATCCTTTACAATTGAATCATCTCATTGTTTTACGTTACGCAGGGTGATTCAGAAAGATGGACACAATTTCAGTTGGCTATATTTCCTGAATTATATGTTGCATTTGAATTCTGTAAGTTACATTTGATTATACATACATGGAAGTTTATAGATGTTCAGTGTGCCTCCCTCTGTCTGCACGGATAACATCTAGACTGTAGCTGAATTCATCCCACATTCGATGACAGATATCTTGTGTCACTGAGTTCACCGCAGCTGTGATACAGTTTCTTAGGTAATTCAAATTTGTGGGAAGAGGTGGTACATAAACTGCATCTTTCACAAATCCCCACAGGAAACGATCACAGGGTGTGAGATCAGGAGACCTCGGTGGCCAGAACTGAAGTGCCAGGTCTTCATTCCCCATGCGACCTAGCCATCCTTGAGGTAGAGATTCATTCAGGTGCCAATGGGGTGGAGCTCCGTCCTGCTAGATAATGTAATCTCCTGAATCTTCATTCATTTGAGGAACAAGACAGTTTTGCAGCATTCTAAGATACGATACTCCAGTAACCGTGTTTTCATCCAAAGCAAAAGGTCCATAAACCTTTGTTAATGATATTGCACAGAACACATTAACTTTCGGGCTGTCCCTCACATGTTCGAGTGTTACACGGGGATTTTGTAGCCCCCATATGCTAACATTGTGCCTGTTGACTTTCCCACTTTGGTGAAACATAACTTCATTGCTGAAAATTACATGAGGCAGAAACAATTAATCTTCCATGCTTTTGAGCATACGGTCACAAAACTCTACACGCTTTACCTTAGTGTTTGCGCGAAGAGCCTGTACCAGTTGTAGGTGGTATGGTTTGTACACTAACCGGCACCTCAATACACGCCAGACAGTTGTTTGCGATAGTCCAAGTTCTCTACTAGCACTATGGGTTGACTTCATTGGGCTATGCTCAAAGCTCACTTGAATGCTCTCTACATTCTCCTCCGATACACGTGATCGGCCCGGGCTTTTACCCTTACACAGAGAGCCAGTTTAATCAAGTTGTTTATTCTAACAATAAGTGCTCTTCCTTGTTGGAGGTTGGATGTTAAAATTACGACGAAATGCACGCAGCACTGCAGTTGCAGACTCACTTTTACAGTGAGAAGCAGACAGCTAACCTCCTGAGCTATGGCATGACAGTTGGAGACCTTACAACCAGGCAAACCCAGGACATGCTGCACCTTACTTTCAGAGGAACCAAATACTTCTGTACTTCAAGATTACCAGATCTCACAGTGCCAGATGCTCTCTATAAGGACTCCTGAAAAAACAGCAGTTTATGTAATCCCATGTAAAAATATCTACGGAGTGACAGGAAGAATTGGATGTGGACAGCGTAACTTATTACATGATACTGTTCAAATGTGTTTGAAAACCTCAATGAGTGACTTGAAGAGTGCCCTCGATATGATGGCTTTCAGCTTGAGCATATCCTGTGTCATATTTAGGGTAAACATGATTTGAGATTAATAAAGTATCTTGGGATAATTTATTTTAGGCTACTTCATGCTGGGTCACACAGTATTTATGTTAATCACATGTTTTATAAAGTAAGTGGAATGATAATGGTGTCTGATTACAAAATAAGTCACAAAATAATTTTACTCTTTTTTGTTATAGCAAAGAAACTTCCACCTGATGTCAATAAGAGAGCTGTTTTTGCTTGCAATGAACTAGATCTGAAAGAAGTCAATGTGTATGGATTTGACTATGACTACACATTAGCACATTATAAACCATCCATGGATTTCCTTCTTTATAATCTAGGAAGAGACACACTCATTCAGAAGCATAAGGTAATTATAGCCTCTTTTTTAACCTTTAATGGCCGAAGTGCCTCGATCAGGCCAGTAATGAGTATGGTCATCGTGGCCAAAGTACCCCTTTTTGGCCAGTCTGGCATTTAAACTCCGCTAGTGGAAGCGTGCACACACACCTTTCATAGAAGCGCATGCACAGTCCTAAATATTTGTTTTTAAATGTAGTAATTACCAGACAGACTTGAGTAAAACCATAATAGAGGAAATAAAATGATACCTAAATGAACAACAAAAAGAGTATACCTATGAGTTATGCCCAAACTCATCCACGAGCAAGTACTTTTATTGCAGATTCTGCAGATTAATGTGTTAAAAATATATAGTAAAATTCGATGTACATACCTTTTTTGTTGTTATTTGTTTGATGTATATAGGCTGAAATGAAACTACAGTATTTGATTTCACTATGAACGCACAGAAAACAGATCACACTCTGTATCTCAGTCACGATGCAACTGTCTGTTCACGACCCTAGAAAGGGCAATAATCTCTTACTGCTATAACGAACGGTCTTAGCACTGAAGAAGGGACCCCTCTAGCTTTCTCTTGAATAGCTATTCTTTCATTCTTGTGTCCTTTAGTCAAAAGATTCGAAAATCTGAAGAGTGTAAGCAGTGCTAGCAGAAGACCAAATGATTTTATTGCTTCCATCTGTTTTATGACACCAGGGACTGCTAAAATTTGTCAAGTGTTACAAACAGAAATGAATTTATAATGCAGAACAACTCTGTGAAGAACTAGGAAACCATTTTTGCAGTACGCATCATAATTAAAAGAAAAAATTTGAAAATAGAGTATAATTCCTTGTATAAACATTTTCAAATATTCCGTTAAAATATGCGACACTATGTTCTTTGCTGATACAAACAGAGTTAATTCCATCCATTTATCATAAAAATTGCGTTAGATACAGTAATTTTAAACACAATGCTTAAAATTGTTTAAGCGCCCTAACAGGAACGGACATTTAAACGCAGAGTAGCAATGGACATTTAAATAAACTCTGGCCAGCTCAAGCTTACCACCATTTCAGAAGTCTGGTGTTAAAGGTTAAACAAACTGCATTCTATTTCATCCACCATAAGACAATTAAATGTATATTGTATCAATTCCCAACTGTTGATTACCATAGCAGTATTTGTAGCTGCTGGGGAATATTACATAATGAGAAAACTTGTTAATGTAACCTGACTGGCCCTGATTTAAATTCTGATGATTGCTGTCCATTTAGGTTATATAGCTTAAAACTAACATTAGCCACAGGGCATAGAAGTTTATAAGCGAAGTGCGGTTGGAACTAGATGTGATAGCTGAGAAGTTTCAAACGTCAGGTTTCTTAAAAGCTGTAGTCTGGGAATAAAAAGGGATAAGTTAGCATATGTGAATTCTTGAGCTGTAGAATAAATTCAAGAATTTGGTTTTGAGGGATTTCATATGAGATGTTGAAAGTCAGTTGGCTGGAATTGACTGATATTAAATATATTCAGCTTGCATCGTATGTTGAACACTTTAGTAAGTAATATAATGTTAACTGTAAACTGAATAAATAAGCACTGATTTTGTTTGTTACTTCTTTTGAAGTACTTACCTATGCAGAATGCTCTAAGACAGTATTTCTCAACTTCTTGGTACTTGGAAACTTTGCCAAGTGTCAATAATTCTGCAGACCCCTCTGATCAACAGAATATAGACTATCAATGATATAAACTCCGTCTCAAGTGCAAATAATATATTTTGTGTCTTTGATCTTGCTCCCTACACTACATGTTTCGGCCTCAGACGGCCATCATCAGGTGTATAACACTCACGTCGCTGTCACACTGCACCCAGTTCAAAATTTAACATCTAAAACACTCTCCCTGTCATTATCAACTTCTANTAAAATAAGTGTTTTAGATGTTAAATTTTGAACTGGGTGCAGTGTGACAGCGACGTGAGTGTTATACACCTGATGATGGCCGTCTGAGGCCGAAACATGTAGTGTAGGGAGCAAGATCAAAGACACAAAATATATTATTTGCACTTGAGACGGAGTTTATATCATTTATCGTATGGAGTGCAACAGGATGCTTAAATATAATAGAATATAGACTGACTAATATACAGACACAGTTAGTTAAGTCATGGTTTGTACTACATGCTTGAAGTAAATATATGACAAAAAATGTACTCTTGACAGGATTTATGGAAGGTGGATCACCATCAGCAGAAAGGGGTCTTATACTTGTGACACAGACTTCATCTTTCCATGCATGGGGGAGTATAACAGTGTCTTGAAATTTCACTTTGTATGTTTTTTCACTATAAAAACTTCACTTTCTTGTGGAAAGTAATTTAAAACACAAATAAAGAGTGAAGCAAGTTGCACTCAGATGACACTGATATGGTATCTGTTCTTGAAGATTTTTGTTGATAGATCTGGCCAGGTTTCAGCTGAGTTTAAAAGTTCAAGTCACACACATGCTTTAAGACAGGATGTATTTCTCCTCTTGTTTTTATTAGTCATAGCCAAAATCCCACTTTGTGCACATATCAATGAGAATGGCACCAAGAGCTTAAGAGCTTTCTCACTCAATGAGGAATAATCATTCATAATGCTTATCGAAAATGCTGAAAGGAATTTCTGCCTAAATATTTCCAGAGTCCTGATGGTGGTCGGTTCTATGAGTTTTCCTTCTTCCAGTGGTGAAATTTAATATCAGAATGATTTGCAAAGGGATTTGGAATCCATAGGTTTTCTTTACAAATATTAGATGTCGAGACTTATTCAGATTTTTTACCACATGTTTCATGTACGTTTTGGTTATAGCATTGGCATCCTTTCCATAAGATATAATATTTTCATGTATTAGTGACTAGACACAGGGTTTAGATTGGTAATTAGAATTAAGACTTATAAATTGTAACAGGTAATTATAATGCTCTCACTAATTTGCACACCCTCCTTCTCACCACAGCTTATGCTCAGTCTTCTGTGTCTTCACCAACCGTTGCCTGGTTACGATTCCCAGCTGTGTCCTGTGTCATGTCGTTTGCCAGAATTCTGCCTTCTCACAGCTAATTCATGGCCACAATTAACTCAAGGCAGTGACTAATTTAAGTAAAAGCCACATTGTGACCATTGGTCAGTCTGCCAGTCTATCTTGGTGTCAAGCCCCATCTGGGCTCCAAGACCAGATTTTTGTTACCATTAAACAGTTGCGGTTTTGTCAATGTGTGACACCCTCTCTGACAAGAGGGCAGGTCATTTACTGCAGTCTAAGAATGGGTAGTACATGTCATCTGTATTTAGAGTTTTACGTGTTTGGATGGTCAGTTAAATTGCTGCTGGACATTGCCAGCACAGCTATTCCTGGCCTCAGTCTCCACCAGATCCATGATCAAGATATTGATTCTCTGCTAGACATATTTTTTTTATTGCTAGTGGGTTGGGACAAAGTCCCTTGTATTGCGGCCACTTCTGGCCTATTGTACCAGCCCCAGATGATAGGTGAGGGTGATTGTGGAGCAATTGGTGGAAGGAAGATTGGCAGGGGAAACCGAAGTACTTGGAGGAAACCTACCCCAGTGCCACTTTGTCCACCACAAATGCCACTTGACCAGACCTGGGATCAAACCCTGCTAGACATATAAATGTTTGAAAATGGGGCCTCCACTAAGACGAAGGATTAGTCGGTCTTTTTATGTAGGTGATCAGTTTGTTGCATAAGTGAAATGCTGATAGCCACATTAACCTTTTCCAAAACTTTGAAGTATAGCTTCAACCTTTTCCAAAACTTTGAAGTATAGCTTCCAGCGAGATATTTTGTTGTTCAGATTCTTGAAAGGAACTTCAGAATTCACACTTTATTGTTTTCTTTTTCTGGACCTTGAGATAGGAAGCACTGGAAGACTAAACATCTGGTATGTTTTTGTAACCAGCCACTTGATCAAACTCATGGAAAACTCAAATCAAAATATTCACATGTGTAACAGTTTGCAAATGCTATGTTGAGTTACAGTTATCGCTGACATACAACTGATTTTTATCACAAAGAAGTAACAAATCACTGTTATTTTGAAATGAAACTCATTGTTACCAGTACACAATGTGTACATTTAATTTAATTGGTAAGGTAAAAATTGTTGTTGTGCTTAATTAACTAAACACTACATTATGAAGACATGGGGATTCAAAGTTTAGCTCTACCATTCTTGACCTTGGTACTAGAGGGGTGTGAGTGGTTAGATTCACACCCTGGCCACTTTGTTCCCAGGAAAGAAGTCCCAATAACCATTGGATAGAAGGCTGGTTAGGCCTCGGAACCAGTCTGGATGCTGTGGAAAAGAGAGAGATCTCTTGCCTCTGCCAGGAATCAAATCCCAGTCATACAGCATGCAGCCCATTGCTATACTGACCGAGCTATCGTGGCTGTGTTGATGTAATTAGTGGTTACAAAGTCAATAGAAAGTCCGTCGAGTGTAACAATTTGTAGGTCACTTCTTTATCATTTCTGCCTTACATGTTTCGGTTTAATAAAACCATCATCAGAGGCACATAGTACAATCAAGAAAACACTGTCGTTGTTTAAGATGTACACAGCTATGTTTGCTGCGTGGACGCTGCTACAATATGTCGACGTGTAAAAGCACAACACTTGCTAGGATTGTTGAATGCACTATCAATTCTCACATTCCATCCGAAACTGCCCTCAAGTTAAAACGCCAATGTTAAAATATTTAAAAATTTAAAACATTTGAAGTGAAATGTTAAGCTCCTCCTTGTTAATTCATCCCGAAGATGGGAGATGTCAGCTTGAGGTTGTATGGCTTATGGTTAGATGTTTCCTATGTGCTGTGTGTTGTGACTTTCTATTGACTTTGTGATTGATAGTGTAATGGACCAAAAATGAAACAATTCAAAATAATTAGTGGTTATTTAAAATGAACCCTGTTGAGATTTAAATCCTGTGCAGTTGTTGTTTAAATCACAGGTACTGTAGTTACAGAACTGAATGTTGTTTTGTCGTAAAATGACAAAATGTATGCATATACATAGACTCATGTTCCACTACTTTACACATTCATGTGGCTAGATACACTCTAATGACAGTACATTTATAGTATCGTTGAGAATATCTAATTTCCCTGGCTGGAAATTGATGTAAAACTTACTGTGATATATCCCTCTTTTGCATGTACACAGCACTATAGGCTTAATTCCAGCTGTCAGGTTTTATATTAGGTTTAATAGAAGCAGAGGTTAACTTGTCTTTTTCCTATAGTATCCTGCAGGCATTGCTGAGCTGGAATACAAGCCTGGGTTTGCAGTCCGTGGTCTTCATTATGATGTTGAGAAAGGACTGCTGCTCAAGATTGACTCATTTTTACAAATCCAACTGGGTACTGTGTATCGTGGCTTGTCCCCTGTTTCTGATGAGGAAGTGTTGAGGTTGTATAAGAATCGTGTCATCCCAATAGCCTACGTTGAGTCACAGGTGAAAAATGTGGTAAGTCTGACATTGTTTGTGTGTGTAACATTGTTCAAGTGTTGGTGTTCGTAATAATCATAGAGAATGCATTGGTGTTACTAATATAAACTCACTTTCTTCTGCAGACACCTGTGTTGTTTTAATTATATTATGTTGCTGGCCAAATTCAGAATCATTCAAATGAGATTTATAAGAAATTATCATTAAATGTTCAAACTTGTAAAACCACAAGAAGAGAAAAAGAAAACCAGCCTTTGCGCTGATATTTTGTTATGTATACAGCATTCTTATGATCCATGATACCTTATCATTAACTGTGGTTTATTTTCTAGCAGAGCTAGTTAACTAATCTAGACTCTCTCTGGGGAGCATATAAATGTGATAGAGTACAACACAAACATTTTCCTACAGGTCAATAAATAAATTTGCTTGGAGGTAACTATAGAAAAACTACACACACAGATGTGTTTCAGAACTGCATCAGACTCAAAATATTTGTAATAAATAATTTGTGAGTATTTTAAAATTTATCAACTTACAACAGAAACAAATTTAAATTAGGAGGATAAAATTATGAAAGGGTTAAAATCAAGAATTCTTGTTTATTATTTAGTTCAGGAAGTGTGACACACCATCTGTTAGCCAGAAAGCTGGGGAACCACGACATAAAAAGAATTATTGTAGTTTTTTGTGGATATGAAATGTGATCTGTTACCATGAGCAAATAAATTATGTGTGTTTGAAAACAAAGTGCTTAGGAGGATATTTGTATCTAAGAAAATGTAAATATGTGAGCCATTAAATATATAATGAGGAAGTTTGTAATTTATGCAGGTTACCTGGTTTGTTAGAATAATGAAATGTAGGAACTATTTTGTCCTGGGTATTTGGCTCGGATGGGGGGAGACAAGGAATATGTACATGATTTTGGCTGAAAAATCTCTGGAAAATTATTTAGAAGAAGAAGTGTGGAAGGTGGATGTTGGGGAAACAAATGCTGATGAGAATGACAGTGGCTCAGGATCATGTCCATTGTGTTTACTCTTATTGGCATTGAACCTTTGGGTTCTGCTACCACATTGCTAGTTAATGATTGCTCAGAATGTTTTATCTTCTTATGTACTATCTAAGAATCTGTATGCAAAACTTGATCTCTCACTCTATGGGAAGATCGTACTATATTGAGGGGCATTTGTGAATAAGTGGTGAGAAACATGCCTGGACCTGTGAGAGGCTGAAGTAACAAAAAAGTGGAGAAAATTACACAATAAAACATTCTATAATTATAGAATGTTTTATTGTGTAATTTNACAGGCTGTAGGCCCATAGGGTTGTGAGACATTGATGCCCCCACATTTTCTAGGCATTCAGATCAGCCCTAAGCACCTACTGCTGCCCTTTACCCTCTGGAAGATTCCTGGTACTCATTTCTATTAGAGGATGAATTGACCCCAGGGCCATAGTGTGACTGGAAGGACTGGGTCAATTGAAAAATCCAATGATCTCATCGGAAATCAAACCCACGCCTGTCCAGATTGTAGCATAGTGCCTCAACCAACTATGCTACTGTGTGCTGTCATGTTATATAGGATCAATGAAAATATATAAATACACGGTCACACAGCATGTATTCTGACCTGTTTTCACAAGATGGGTGACATGTTCCAACACATTTGTTTCATCCTCTAACTCTCAAGCACTTTGAAATATATATTTGTGTTAACTTTTTAATTATGGGGGAACACACATCTAGTGTGTAATTTTGCCTAATGAACCAACTGACCTGTGAAGTTCATATTAAACATTAAAGTGTTATACAAGGGTCAGTCAGAAAGTTCCCAGAATGGTGGTACAGCACTCTAATGGTAGGACATATGGCAGCGTTTACCTAATCACCTTCAAAGTAGGACCCTTGCGCGCACACACACTTGCTCCATCGATCCTGCCATTGTTGGAAGCAGTGGTGGAAGGCTTCTTTTGGAATCTTCCGGAGCTTAGCCGTTGCATTTGATTTGATGTCCTCCATGGTTGGGAAACTTGTCCCCTTTTCAGATTAGGGAACAGCCACAAGTCACATGGAGTGAGATCCGGAGAGTACGGTAGTTGAGTGATGACAGGAATGTTTTTCTCGGCGAGGAATTGCTGCACAACAAGTGATGTGTTGCTCGGTGTGTTATCGTGATGCAGAAACTGCTGTCCCTGCCACTTGTCATGCCGCTTCCTCTGAACCGCGTCATGCAACCTCTGCAAAACTTGCACGTAGAAATGGCCAGTAACAGTACCAACTTCTTGCTCCAACTCTGCGATGGTCATTCTTCGATCACATCGAATCAGTTGTTGCGCTTTCCAGTCATTTCTTCAGTTCTGGATGTCGAAGGTCTCCCTTACATTCTTAAACTGGGAAAACCAGTTGTAAACTGTGGATTTCTTTACTGCATTATCACCATAAACTTGCTGCAGGGCCACTAGCGTCTCTGAAGCAGATTTTCCCAATTTGCACATGAACTTGATGTTCGCATGCTGTTTGAACTGCGACATTGCACAGAATGACCAACACATCTAATTCAAACGGAACAGTAACGATACTGCACACTGAAACCTGTCCAGACCTGTTGGGCCTGCGAGCAGACATGCTGAGCTTCCCACCACAACAGTGTGTGCGCTATCTTATTGCTCATTCTCCATCTGCAGGGGAATTCTGGGAACTTTTTGACTGACCTGTGTATATGGTAATAAAAATAAATATAGTAAATAGTAGTAAAATTGGCTAAATGTAAAAGTTGCATGTAGCTGAAACATTGTGTTAAAGTTAAGGTAAAGTTGTGCCAGTGCTTAATTAATGAAGCACTCTGCCATAAAGACATATGGGGGCATGGAAGTATAGGGCCCACCAGTTTTTAGCTCAGCACAGGATAGAGGTTACTGGTCAGTTTTACTGTCCAGCCCAGAGAAAGAGCCCATGGTACACACTGGATAGGAAGCTGGGTGGGTCCCAGAGCTGGTCTGGACACAGCCATCCAGCCCATAGCCCATTGCCATACCAACTGAGCTATCACAGCTCATTGTGTTGGTTTTACAAATTTTTATTAATTTTGAATTTAATATTATAAAGTTAATCTGTAATTTTCACCTCTTATTGTTAGAGAGGCTAAATTAATAAGATGGAGACTGGAAGGAAGTGTATACAAAAATTTAGTTGGAAAAGTTCCTGGAATGAGGCCGTTTGTAGGACGTATGAGTAGAGAGAACAATATTGAAATGTATGTTGGAGATACAGGATGTGAAATTGTGCACAGGATCCGGTATATCCCTTTGTAAATGTGATGAGCTCCATGAAAACGGAATTTATTAGTTATCATATTTCTTATGTACGTTTTTAGAAGAGCATTAAAAATTGATCAACTGTGGTCAATGTTTGGAGATTTTATTGCTGTGCATGCAACAACAGTGATGGAAATCTATTGCCATGGCAGTTCATTTTTGCAATGTTGTTGGCAATGTGGAACAGCTGTGCGAGACATACCAGTCTTTATTTTTACACTATAGTAGGTTGCCTGTTGTGAAAAGTGCTAGATATCCCTTTCAAGCATTAAGTCTTATTTTTGGAAGTTCATGATCATAAATTTGATACTTAAGGCTGCTGCCTATAAAGTCACACACTGAGTTCACAGTAGAAGCTATAGGGGAAGGAAAAAGAATTTGAGTTAAATATGTATTTAGAAGCATCATGCATATTTAACTTTGTGCAATGATAAGCAAATAATTGTTTCAGAGGTGAACAAGAATTTAACGTAATGGCTTTGAATAAAATTAGATAGAAGATGAGAGAATGGATACCAAACATGAGAAAATCAGTTCCTATATCTACCAAGTTAACAATTGCAATAGATTTTTGCTTCTGTGGATTCCTGTAAACGTTTGAAGTTTCTGGGTATACTGTTTTCCTCCAAATGCTAAAAGCTCTCAGAAATTTAATAAAGGAATGAAAGAATACATCAACATAAGTAAGGGAGAAACTTCTTTGTTCACAAATTTATGGAATATTTGAAACGGATAAAAAAAAAATTATTTTTTACTTAGTACTTGAATACTTACACAGATTGATTTGAATGTTTGCCACAAGGATTCTGTTGCTCTTACCTGGAATGGGGCTAATGTCTCCTTCCACTTGTTATTCTCGTGATGATTTCACTCTCTTTTATGACATATGCTGCCAGCCATTTGGGCTTATTTTGGACTACTTCTGGTGATAGGAGTGAAATACAAACCCACTTGCAGTTTTAACCCATATGTAATTCAAATTGTGGCCCTTTGAGCTGTGATACTGTGTAGTCTTCTAGGTGGATACCAGTGTATTGGGGGAGCATGCTTCTTCCATCTTCAAAGTCACATTTACAGGTAAATACAAACATCTTGGAGGTACATGCATCTGCCATTTTCAGACTGAAGTCAGTCTTGAAGATGGAGGCAGCAGGTTCCTCTGTAACACTATCCACATACAATATTACACACTGCAACAGTGCAGAAAACCACAGTCTGAACACTTCCTGCCATGAAAGCCTGAAGCTTATATTTAATTTCTGGTGTTGAGATTTCTGCATGTCCCAGAGTGTAAACAGCATTAAGAAAATATGGAGATATGCTGGTATTCACAGCCATTCAAATTGAATATACCAATATCAGAGTTGAACATGACACAATGATAGCTTGTAATTATCACCACACAGTAACCAGGAAATTGCAGTATATGTGGAGCAGCTATCAAATAACCGGACTGATGCTCTAAAATCTGTTATTCAACTAATCACATAATGGAAATGTTATCACCCTCAAAGTGGTCCCTTCCCTGACCCATACACAACTCCATGCGAATTTTCCACTGTTAAGCAATGCTGCAGGTCCTTTTCTGATAGCTTCATTACCTCTGTCGCCTTTGCCTTCCCTGCATCTACAGACTTGAAATGAGTTCCTTTTAATGCAGACTTGATCTTTGGAAATAAAGAATGTCACACGAGGCTAGGTCAGGTGAGTAGGGGTGGATGTTCCAACATGGGAATCTTGTGCTTTGCCAGAAATGTCTTGTGTGCTGGTGCATTGTCATGGTGAAGAAACCATGAGCTCTTCTTCCACATTTGAGGTATTTTTCTTCTTACCTGTTAATGAAGGAATGCCTGAACCTCCTTATAGTAGACCTGTCTAATGGTCTGACCTTCAGGCACCCAATCAATATGAGCAGTCCCTCAGATGTTGAAGAAAACTGTCAACATTGCCTTGAAATTTGACTTGCTCTTCCATGCTTTTCTTTTTCTTGGTGACCTGGGACTCTTCCTATGTGTGGATTGGCACTTAGTTTCTGGGTAATATTTAAAAAAACATGATTCAACACAAGTTATTATATTTCCTAAAAAGTTTGGATCATTTTCTTTGTTTTTAAGGATGTCGGTGCAAATGTTCATTTGAGTTTCCTTTTGCTCAGAAGTGAGGATTGGCAGCACCATCTTCAAGCACACTTTTTTCATATTAAAATATTCATGTAAAATCTTGAACACTTTCTTTATCAAGCAACCTCATGCAACGATTTCACCAATTTTTTCAATGTTAGCATCTGTTTTTGATGTGCAAGGCCGACCAGGGCACGGATCGTCTTTGGTCTCTCCCCTTCCCTATTTAATTTGTTTGAACCACTTGAAAACTTGAGCACGAGATAGACATTTATCACCATAAACTTCCATCAACAAACTGTATGTTTCTGTAGCAAATTATCAAAGTTTTGCAAGGAATTTCACATTAACATGTCGCTCTACTTTCACACTTAACATAATTCCAACAGAACTCAGATACACAGTCGGCTTCAAACAAAGGCTGTTATCACAATGTTGGTCATGTGGCCTTGGAAGTCGTAGGGTTGATGGAGAGAAGAGGACAGGCTAATATGCCACCTCGCTCACTGTTCCCAAGGCCACAAGGAGTCGTAAAAAAATCAGTCCATTTATTTTATGGCTGCTCCACGTATTTTCCATCCTTCCTTGAACACATGTTAACCGTAAGCATCTAGTGCCTAGCCCATAAGATCATCAGAAACATCTGGTTTCAGCTAACTGCCATACAGTGCTCACTCTTACTCATTCACTGTTGTATGTAGGTGGAAACTTTGTTACGGCCACATTTTGCTCTAAAAGCATTGTTCATTGTTAGGAAGAGTGTGCCATGAATTTAGTTAGTTATTTGAAGCAGTTGGTAGTGAAATTATAGGCTTAATCCCTAAAGTTAAAGTAATAAATTTTTATTCATAAGTAGAAAGCTGTTCAACTGATTTAGACATATGTGAATGGTTTCTTTCTCTCCCCACCGCTGATGCTGCCCTACCCTCTGGCGGCTGACATAAAATACCTGTTCTTCCAAGTAATTGAAAAATGAAACATTCCTTCCTTTTGGGGCGGACCACGTATCTATGCAGAGAGGGCAACGGTTGGTGAGTTTGAATTGTAGATCTGAAACCCAGGTAGTCTTGCCTCCCTATGGAAGCCTGTCCAAACTATCAGAATGCAAATGTACTTATGTTGCTCTACATTTGAGTTCATGTTGTAGAAATGTCAGTTGTAGATAATTTATAGATTAGAGTATGGGTTTCTATTGTTTTATTGCTTAGCAGTATGATGGCTGTATGCTGCTGTGGTTAAAGTCTAGTTATTTAAATTGTGTTTAGTAACTAAGTATATATTAATTTGATTTGTTTCATTCTGGTCCGTCACACTAACAATTACAAAGACAAAACAACTCCGTCCAGTGTGACTATTTAAGTTTTACTACTTGAAAACTTAGCACCCTTACATGTTTCGATCCTTACAGATCATCTTCAGAGAGAACATCAATACTTATTTGGAAACTACTATCACAATAGGTGTTCTAAGTGCTAAATTACATACACACACACAATGCCTGGAATACACAATATACACAAAATCCAATTTTTTCACAATCACAGCAGCTTTCCAGGCATTAAGGTTTTTAAAGCTTTGTTGTTTAAGTTAAAATTTATAAACCAAGTAGGTTCGTGTCACTTCTCCTATCATCTTTCTTGAAGGGGGCTGAACTTGTGCTGCCTATCTTGAGAAGGAGATTCTTAGTATCGTCCTGTGTTTGTTCGTGGCTTGTTGTGTTGTTTTCACTAACTTCNTCAAGAAAGATGATAGGAGAAGTGACACGAACTTACTTGGTTTATAAATTTTAACTTAACAAAGTTTTTAAACACTTTGAAAGTTTTAGTACCAGGAAGGCTGCTGTGATTGTGAAAAGTTGAATATTGTGTATATTGTGTATTCCAGGCATTGTGTGTTTATGTAATTTAGTACTCAGAACACCTATTGTGATAGTAGTTTCCAAATAAGTATTGATATTCCCTCTGAAGATGATCCGTAAGGATCGAAACATGTAAGGGTGCTAAGTTTTCAAGTAGTAAAACTGAAATAGTCACACTGGACGGAGTTGTTTTTTCTTTGTAAGTATATATTAATTTTGAATGCATTTTTAACATTCATGAAATTTATGTTTTGAATTCTTGTACTGTAACATGTTACTAACTATTAATTTTGAACTTCAGTGTATGTTAGTTTAGTTAGTGTATGTTTGTTTACATGCACAGACAATAAACATTTATAAATTGAGAATATTTGGTTCGCTATGCTGGGGCATGGATCGTTTGTTATGAGCACTTACAATACAGGTTGCCGCCTTTGCTACTGTGTTAATTGTAGCAATATCATCATAGAGTGAAAGCAAATTACTGGTCTGCTTGCAGCATCTGCCTCATACTTCTTTCAGAATTACTTGTACCTTCATAAAACAGATCCCATAACCTCGCTTGCATTTGGATGCACCAAATGCCAAATTTTATATGATGGAGTGGAACTTCAGGCATAAGATAGGATTTTCTCTATTCCATTGTCTGGTACCCTGTGTGTTCAAGTGTCATTCAAGCAACTAACTAATCTTCTGGGGCTGAGCCCTTCTTGAGAAGCCATCAGTTGTGCAGCTACTCAAGACTTTCCGAACATCTTATGGAACCTGAAGGTGCATTACCGTTTTCACAAGAGCCCACCATTGGTCCCTATCTTGAGTCACATCAATCGAGTCAATACCACCCCTTCCTGTCTCAGATCCATTTCCATATTATAATGAATTTGCTCAAAGCATTGCTAGGCAATGGCTCAATAAACACCCTGCGATACACACACGTAACAATTGTATGAATGTTATAGCTCGTTGCTGTGCAGCAGCCGGTGCCCTAGTGGACAGGCTGGGTAGCAGTCCCATGACTTGTGTTTTCAGTGTGGTCCGTGTGGAGCCTGTGTAACAAGGATCTGTTGTAGCTGAGATTAGTTGACTTCAGAGTGGGACAGAAACTCAATTGTCTTTGAGATAAGTCAGCTACGCCAGATCTAGACTAGATTCATTGATTTCACGAAACATGTGATTATTTCAGTAATTTTCCTGTGTTGGACACAGATAAATTTACACTAGAGCATTATGTGTTATATGTGAATTTTGTGTGAAGTGTAAGTGTAGTAGGAAATGTTAAATGAATATCCACAAGAAAGTTTTATGGGGATTGAGTCCCCACTGAAGCACAATTCAGAATCTTGTCAATAAAGTGAGCACAAGTGACATGTTAACAGACAGGAAAGCAAAACATTGTAGATTATTAACACAAGCAATATTGGTGCTCAGCTTGAACATTCACCTCATAAGCCTCATGAGTGCCTCGCACATGAAACAGGAATATCCAAAGACCACAAGGATCAAGGCAAAATTATTGAAAGTACTACAACCTCATGAAACTACAGCTGTACACTCTTTGCATTTACATTACCCAGTTATTTCTATAGCTAGTATCATCAGTCAGTTCATGATAGTGAATGTTATCCCACATTGACAATTTTGAAACAAAGCGTGCACTTAATTGAATGGACTTATGGATACAAAGGAGCAAATGCTGGAACACTGTTTATCCACACCTTATACACAGAGTTCCTCTCCATGATGTAAGTGCTGATATTTGGTGTGAAAAGGATTCAGGCTTCTTAGGATTGTGCAGGTACAGACAGTGGTGAGAGGTATGTAAGGCAGATCCAGCAGGCGGAGTAGTAACCTTCCCTCGACTGTGCTACTGCTACAGCTTGCCAAGTACACAAGGTAGTTTCAGCGCAGTAATAAGCATAACCTGCCAGTCACGGTAGCCGAGCGGTCTAAGGCATGTACTGTCTTCGCTCGCTTGGAAACCTGGATTGTGGGTTCGAATCCCACTCTGGGCATGGATGTTTAGTTTGTGTGTGTGCGTTTTTCTGTGTTTATGTACAGGTAGAGGCCTTGCGATGAGCTGATCACCTGCCCAAGGAGTCTTACCTAATGTGTAAGATCTAGAAAAACCGAAGTGAACGGAGAAGTTCATGGACGTAGGCCTAGTCCCACTGGGGCTGTAGTGCCAAGGACAAAATAAAATAAAATAAAAAGGCATAACCCAATGTTGTAAGTTTTGAGGTTTTCACGGCGATGACTATGAAGAAAGTAGTCTTCTGGGTTTTGGCGCCGTGTATTATTCGTTTTGGCCGACGTTTCAGAGGAACGTATCGCCTCCATCTTCAGAGCAGGTGAATGGCTGTGAATGTTCCTCCGAAACATCGGCCAAAACGAATAATACACGGCGCCAAAACCCAGAAGACTACTTTCTTCATAACCCCACGTTGTTGGGTGAGAGAAGCCACATTCTCCAGCAGTAGACTGTATAGACTGGGAAATAGTCTGCTTAATTGGAATGTTTGGAGGGAAGGAGAGCTAGGTTCACTGGTGCTTGTGTGCATGATAATGTACTCTTATGTAAACCTTTATTAAATTCCTGTGAAAGAGAAAAAGGTGAATAATGAAGAATAATCCAGACTTTACTAACTGGGAATATCGTGTGTATGCGTGAATGCATATGCATGCATATGTGTGAGTATGAATGGATATGTGTGTTAGTATTCATTATACTTACCTGCGATCGTATGGTAAATTATTTTCCAAATTTTAACATTTTTATTATTTAAATTAATTAATAGTATTTCTTAATTTAATATAGCATTATTTTTAGCAACACATAAATATTTCCTCGAAACTGGCAGGTACAGACTTTCTGTTCATTGAATCATAAGTAGTTGTTTATGTGTGAGTAGTGTGGGTTGTCATAGGAATGTAGATTGTGAACTACAGATAGTAGCTTGTCTGTAGTTACTGTGTTTATACAGTCACTGCTTTCTCTCTCTCTAGCACCATTCTTTTCTTTTCAGTTATGATAATTAATTAATTAATTTGTAAAAGAAGGGTGTCACTTATTCTCATGAATTTACAGGAAAGACATGATCACAGAGGACTGTTTTTGGATGAGAGATCTGTGGCTTACCCAAGAAATATTTATGATCACAAAAGGAAATTTTCTGAGAAAATTATGTTACAGATATAAGATTTCATTATGAAAATGCTAATATTTATTTATACAGTAGAGTTTATTTGCACTGTACAAGAGACAGTAAGTTTACAAGGCATGTACCTTGAAATAATTCACTGAATCTAGTATGGGTAACTGTTTTTGTACTGCCTTCCTTTCTGAAACATGGTTCATGTAGAGCATAATGCCTCACACCAGTCATGTCTGCATCATATTTTCCTGTGGTTTTGGATTATGTATTAAATTGCATATCTTTTTATTTTCATTCTGTGTTTATGATAAAATAATACAGTATTAAGATAACCCATTGGATTGTGATTTTATTTTATACTTCAATGTCAGAAATTGTTATAATAGTTTCCATCTTGCACCGAAGCTTTGATTAAAATGTGAATCTATTTGCTGTCACAATATATGATGCTTTTTCTCTACATAACCAAATGAGGCTTATAGGAATATCTTCGACAATTTTTTCGCGGTGGAAGAGATATTTGAATCCTGTATGAAAATGGCAGGTCACAGTCTGGTTAGGCTACTTTATTAATCACCAACCAGCTGTTTTGTACGAAGTAATGCTTAATCCTTTTATTGTTATAAACTGATAAAAGTCATGTCTTCACTGCAATATGACAGAAATAAACTGATAACCTGCATGTTATGATCTTATCATTCTACACAAAAACAAATGTATCCAGTATTTCAGCAAAACACTGTTGCCACGAACTAGAGATATTCCTTTATTGCTAAGTTTTTCTGCATTCTGTAATTTGAAGAGCATGGATGTGTACATACTTCTTTGCCTGTTAAGTGAGCACTGTACACTGAGTACCACTACAGCCTTCTTATGTGCATAGTAGCTCTGACGCACATATGATACTAAAGCAGTTTCTGTGTATATTGTTATTTCATCTGTAGGTATCATTTTTTGAGGTTCTTGCGGTTGATTTATTACTAACATTTCAAAACATATTGTGCTCTAATCATGAAGTTCTGTTTATCCAGAAACAGCCTCAGAAGCTGTTAATCACATAACATTCAAAGGTTTCAACTGTTTTAATTAATAAGTTCACTATATCAGTGTTCTGTGTTGCATAGTATGAGCAACTGTTCAAAGTCACCAATAAGGAATTGCGTTCTTGAATTGCTGACAGCATGATGTGAAGATAAAAATGGTGCAGTTAGCCGATCTATTCTCGGTGCCCGAGATGAGCCTACTGTGTAATGTCGCTGAATACTTTGAACGCAACCACATTGACTACCATCCTGAAATTCTCTTTCGTGATGTGAAGGTATGTTTTACATATGAAAATTAGGTCATAAATCTTTTTTTGTCATCGCGTGGTCACAGATAAAGTAAAAAAAAAAAGTAAAACTATCCCAGTAACAGGCCTTGGAGGCCTATAGGGTTGTGAGATGTTGAGGTTCCCACATTTAGGCTGTAAGAGGTGGCACTGTGAACAGTCAAGTACTAAGTTCGTCCGAAAACTTGATTACTCAAACAGAAATGAAGCATATCCTAAAAAATCTATCACTTCCTGGATTTTTAGATTTGTGAAAATTGTTTGTAGCTGTGCTGGAGAAATTATGCTTAATCATTTAACTGCTATTCCCACAGAGCTCAGTACAGAATGGGCATCCAGTAATGCATGAAATTGTGGAGCAGAATGTGTCAGAATATTTGGAGCAAAACAAGGACATCCGCAAATTCTTTGACCGTCTAGTGGCTGCAAGCAAGAAACTCTTCCTAGTCACCAATAGTCCATACCGATTTGTGTGAGTAACAGTAAACTTTGTTAGTTTGGATTCTGCGATTTTATTTCCATAGCTGTTATGGAATGGCTATTCTCATCTCATTTTTTTTAATACCCTCCTCCAATTCTTCATATAGGAACAAAGGAATGGAGTTGCTAGTAGGAAATGACTGGATGCGGTATTTTGATGTGGTGATTGTCCAAGCTCGCAAGCCGAAGTTCTTCACAGATGAGTCCAGACCATTTCGAATCTATGACTGTGAAAGTCGGACACGGCTCTGGGATCGTGTTACAAGTTTGGAGAAAGGAAAGGTCTACTATGAGGTATAAAACACATTTTCTTTAAGTTAAATCATCTCATCTGTTAACATGATCACTGGCAATCACAGCAGCATCACTCAAGCAAGTTCAAGGTCCCTGTGGCAGAAAAGCAGTAGATTACAGTGTCTCAGTTTAGTCATCAAGTTTTTCTGTCCTTTTCTAGAAGATTTCATCTAATTCCCACAAAACTTTCATGAATCGTACCACAAGTTTTGAGGAATAGAAATATGTATCTGTTTTAGCAAAGATTCAGTAGCTGTATATGTTATTCCAATCAGAATTATACATCATAGTCTGTTCAGTCCAGCAGGCCACATGTGCATAATTGTGTTATACTGACACGGACTTCTACTACTACTTCTATTCAAACTCATGCATTGGTAGCAGAAATGTTTGGATTAGTCTGGGGATTTCATGGAATAGTGGCAGGACATCTCCAGTAGTTCAAGACAGTCTGTTTTTTTGTACATATGCCTTTGCAGTAATATAAAATAAATGTACTTATGACTTTGGGTACAACCTATCTACATACAGTACTTCTGTTATAATGTAACTCATTCTTACATATAGCTTGGATAGTTTTCTACAACTTGTTCCTTATTTCTTATCTTGGTTAAACAGTTCTTGGGTCCATTGCTTCTAGTTATGGCCATTTAGCATTCCCAACCTCCACCTCCTGCACCAGTGGTGAAGGAGTTCATTTTCCAGGTTAGGGCACCAGTGAGAATGAAATCTCTGTAGAGAACTAAATGAGGGAAATTCAGTACTTGTTGTGGTACAATGAGGACTAGCAGAGGAAACCTGCAGCTTAATGTAGGCTTGGTATTTCTCACATTCATAATGAGTTAACCATTGCTAGACCTGACAGAAGGGAAAGGCATGTGGAAACATCAACTTCAGTTTTGAATTCTGGGCCTTTAGCGCCAAATTCCAGCATATTATTCCTAGACCCTGTTTTTTATTAATTGTATAGTTAGTTTTTGTAGAGAAATTACTTGATTGCATTATCCCCCCCCTCCTCCAACCCCCCATTCCTATTTCAAATGCTGGAACTCTCCAAATTTCTTTAATGTAGCCACATTTCTCATGTTATTCTTCACACCACAGGACAGCTTTAATTTTGCCTTGTAACACATCGTTTTAGTCTATGTTTATGAATCATAAATTTTTAGTAGGCATTGTGTCATGCATCATAATGATATTGTCATGTATTACTGGTTTCCATGACAAGTAATAATGGGTTCTAGGTTTGATGATTTGGTTCATTGGCACTTCTTTACAATTACAATCGATTATTACAGCTCACAATCAGTCTTGACCACCAAGGCCTCCCTTCATTCTGCTTCTCGTTCTACAACTGGCCGCAAATGACCTTCATTGTCATCTATAAACCTTCAGTATGGACCACACATGGAAAACACATTGAGAACATCCTATTCTAGCAATTTCTCAATTGTTGTAGAGGTGTGTTTACATTTCTGTTGCATAACACTAGATGTCTCATATTGTTCCACACTTCAGCAGAAAGGCATTTACCAAGCTGTTGCCTAGCAGTACATATCCACGTTACAATATGTCCATCCAGTCTTAATCATGAAGGTCTATTCCTTTCCAGGTCAACCCTGAGTATACCCATGTCTGTCTAGTGTGTGTCCATTGGGCCTACCCAAAATATTCTTTTCTGGTTTGTTCCTCTTATGTGCTCTTTGAACTTTCGAGTTTATGTACCTCTTGAGAGAATGGAAATTGAAAAGGTTTAAACTTTCTTTCCAGGAAAATGAGGCAGATAACAAGGAAAATCATAAAACCTGGGAAAGACAAAATAGAATTCAGTATGGATGTTATCGCTGTGTGTGAAAAGTGTGAAATTAAAAAGGTTAATTCTACTTGCAGGATGCAATTCATTGAAAGCTCTTATTGACTACATTTTGGATCCTGAATATTAATCTTCCATTTCAGGGTACAGTGAAACAGCTTCAGGACATGACAGGATGGAGGGGAGAGCAGGTTCTCTACTTTGGTGATCATCCATACAGTGATCTGGCAGATGTGACTCTGGAACATGGTTGGCGGACTGGAGCTATCATCAACGAACTCACAGTGAGTTGTAGTACTTGCCCCAGTGTTTTAAGAAACAACACAATTTAAGCTTTCTGAATGTGTCCCATTTGCCTTGAATCTGTGTAAATGAACTGAACTAAGAAACCCAGAGGGATGTAATTTCATACTTCTGTGTTATAAAGATGAACCGTTATCCTTTCATAATTAATGAATAAAATGGTGAAACCACAGAATCGTTCTCTCTGCACACTACCAAGTTTGTATTGGCCAGTACTCTTATGTCCTAATCTGAACTAATCTTCAGAATTCACTAAGGACATGCTCCATTCTCATCCTTTAACTAAAGTGCTGAACCCTCCTGGACACCTTTTTGTAATGACTTCATGTCCTGGACTCATGGCCTCTCAGCTACGACTGACTGCAAATGACTTTCACTGTCCCCTGTAAACCTTCAACACGGGCCCCATAGAAAACATCTAGTATTGTAGACGGGTTTACAAGTTCTGTTGCTTAGCACTGGGCATGGCGTGGACCACATTGAAAACAAGTTATGTGATAGTTATCTCACCAGTCCATTGGTGCACTGACTGTTGCGTAGCAACGAGCTATAAACATCCACCTTTTGTTTCCTGCGTGTATCGTGGGGTGTTTCTCAAGCTGTTGGCTGGCAGTGTGGTGACATGTCACGGCATCATTGAGCAGGCAGCCTGTTAGATAGCAGATAGGAGCCCATGATTATGTCTGATGATTCTAGTCCAAACTCTGATGCTGAGACTGAAGTATACTTTGTACCAATGTTCTTGGATGGCATAAGGATTATCCTCTGCTCAGAGGTGACTGTTGTGAATGTGAAACACACCCTCACATGTAAAACATGCTTCGGTTCTCCAGAGATGGTTACATTAGGGTTGGAGTTTGAGTACCAGTAGGGTCAAGAATTTTCTCTTCTCCATGTTGTCCAGACCAGCTCTGGAGTCCACCCAACCTCCTATCTAATGGGTACTGGGGGCCCTTTACCCAAGGGTAAAGTAGACAAGGAATGAAACTGACCCCTTACCTCCAGCTAATGCAGAGTTCAAGAAAAATGTGGATCTGTACATCCACTCCCCCATATGCCATCATAGTGTAGCGCTTAATTAGTTAACCACAGGGACAGCTTTACCTGTTTCATCAGCACATTTAACATTTGCAATTATGTCATCTTTACTGGCTGGTGTCTGTATAGTCTGTGGGTGACCTGCATTTTATGTGTGGCATATGTCTCACAAAGGCATTCAGTCACATCAGATCCATGGATGCATTGTGGGTGTGTAAGAATCCACTTCTAGGATGAACTCGTTGGTGATATTAGTGATAAATATGCAAGTCATCTTTGGGTGTCACCACATACTTAACTTATACTGATGCTTCCTTTGGGATGGGGGGACTTCTCCTGATACCATCTGCAGGACATATGGCATGGTCAGGCCTCTCTTTCTTCCATAGAGCTCACCAGCTGGTTCTCCAAGTTCATTCTCCCAAACTCATCATCCATATTTGTGTTACCTTTCGGAATGCCTCGTTTGTAATATGTTGGCATAGATTTCTGTACACCTCATCAGGTTTTGTAACTGCCTTGTCTCTTCTAGTCTCACCAACAGGCCAGCAAGCTTTCTTCATTCTACCTGGTGTAAGGCCTCCATTTGTTAACATTGAGTCACATTCAGTAACTGCCTTCTCTCTCTTCATAGTCTTACCACTTGGACAGAAAAATGTTTGAGTTCTACCTGGAGGTTTGCATCCCCTCTGTATTGCTGTAGACTTTCCCTAAACCTCACCAGCTCTCCAGCAATCTACAGAGTTGTTTGCTTCTTCTCTCTGAGGCAATGGCATAGAGGTCTTTTGTACAGCTTGCCACCTGTTTTTTCAGAAATCTTTCTTTCTTTGCATAGTATGACACCATGTTCTAATCAATCTACCAAGTGGTCTTCCTCTTGTTTCATCAAGAGTTGGTTTAAAGTTTCTCTCACTTCCGCACAGCTTAGCAGCTGGTTTTCCAAGTCCCTTTTCTCTCTGTGTGCCCTCTTCAACTCATCATCAGTGCTTGCTTGTTCTACTTTATTGTCTTCCTGCTCTACCTTCAGGTCTTTGCAAAGAACCCCTTCTTTCTTACAACTCATCACCTTCTTTTTAAGTTTAAACAAACTTCACGTGGCCTGTACAACTCCTACTCCAATTGTTGCACCTCGTCTTCCATTTCTCCAGGCACTGGCAAAGATTTCTTCTTCCTCACTCCTCACCTGCTTGTTATCCAAGTTCAACATCTCTGGCCCACCATCTTGAAATCACTAGCAAGGTTTTCTCAATTTAGTCATCTTGTAATGATTGTCTGTACTGCTTCTGTGCTCAGCAGCTGTTGTCTTTGCTGGCTGACAGCTGAGCACTTACTGCCAACTTCTAACAGTTCTTCTGTTGTTGCATGTATATTTGTTGCCACTCTAACATGTTTCCCAAGCTGTTACCTAACAATGGCCATCTCCCTTGATTCCACCATCCTGGCTTCTAAGACATTTGCTATCTAATTAGTTCCCTTCCTCACAAGTAGGAAATGTACTTGTTTAATTTATCCTGAATATTGAATGGATTCCACTTAAAATAATCCTGTGCTTGGTACCTCCAAATTCTGATAAACCAGTACTCAGTTTCATTAATACAGGTTCTATTGATTAATTGTGATCTTTTTCAATAGCACGAGATTGAGACGCTGAATGATCCAGAGTTCAAGATGAACTGCAACTGGCTGCAGATGTTGACACAACTGATTGAGGATTTTCAAGATTGTGAGTCCGCTGAGGATAAGGAAGTTGTGGCAAAATGGATGGCTGAGAGAGATGATCTTCGGTAAATATCTCTTCTTATCTTATGAATTTTTTCTCATGGTCAGACTGAGTCCACGTGGTACTGCGGCCACTGTTTGGCCTGTTGTACGAGCCCCAAATGATAGATGATGTTGACTGGAGCAATCGGTCGAATGCAACTTCACAGGGGAAACCAAAGTACGTGGAGAAAACATGCCCTGATGCCACTTTGTCCACCACAAATCATGTAACCTGACCCAGGCCACCACAGTGGGAAGCCAGTGCTCGCTCAGTACCCCTGCCCCCCCCTCTCAACCCGACAAAGATCCTATACCAGTTCTGGCCGGATCTCTGCTACCTGCTCCTCCATCTTTACAGACCCTACCCCTCTCCTCTCTGTTGATTTCCCATGTGGCCCACTCTCCCTCTTTTCCTGTTCTTATTCAGCTGGGTGTTTTTGACTGGTGGCTCAATCTACAGCCACCTGCTCACGCTGGTTACTTGCTCATGGAGTTTTCTTTCCTGAAGATGGAGGCAATATGTTTCTCCAAAACGTCGGTTCACACAAGATCTACATGATGCCACATCCCAGAAGACTGCATTCTTCAGTAATGACCTGTTAAATGACTAGGAATTCTCTGACTTCATATAACCTGAAGGTTCCTCAGCATCTTCACAAAAGCTCATCATGAGATTCTGTCATCATTTCGTCATAATTCTTCTTTATTCTGTTGTCTGATTTTAGTTTATATTTATATTAATATTACTGTTATAATTATCAAGTCAAGGAGGATGAGATAAGCAGGGCATGTAGCACGAATGGGGGATAAGAGAAATGCATATAGGATATTGGTGGGAAAGCCAGAAGGAAAGAGACCACTGGGAAGACCAAGGTGTGTGTGGGTGGACTATATTAAAATGGATCTTAGAGAGAGAGAGGATGGGATGGTTTGGATTGGACTGGATTGATCTGGCTCAGGATAGGGACCAGTGGAGGTGTCTTGTGATTACAGCAATAAACCTTCGGGTTTGATAAAATACTGTGAAATTCTTGTGTAGCTGCAGATTTGGCTTCTCATCAAGACGGGCTCAGCTCCATAAGTAAGTAAGTTATTATTATCATTTTTACTTTATAATTGCCCTACTTTCATTATTGTCATTGTTTTAATCTGCATCATTTTCCTTATTTTCAGAAATTAAAGGAGGCTTATGAGATCATCTTCTTGTCTGTGTGTCCCTCCCTAATGGTGCTAGGCAGTGACTTGAAAAAGACATTTCCGAGGCAATGAATACACATGCAGCAATAACAGAACTGTTGAACACAGTGTTTTCTATGTAGTCCACATGGTATCAGATATTCAATATGTAGTAAAAAGAAAGTGGAGAAATAGTTCTTCCCAGAACTTGTTTTACTGATGTGATCTGCATAGCTATTAATATTGTGTTGTCATTATCACTGCCATTGTCAGTACTGTTGCTGCTGCTGCTGTCATCCTCATCTGATGCTCACCATTAAATGGCAGTTGATAAAATTAAATTAAATTAAAATTAATTAATTTTTAAAAGTGGTGAATAGGATTGGAAGAATGCCACATCTCCAAGTTTCTCTATTAGGAGACAGCATGAAACCCTTCTTATGCATCAGTGTTTCAACATTAATAACCATTTTGTTTTTTGTTTTTTTCAGGCAGAAGATCAAGTGTGTTTTCAACAAACAATTTGGCAGCGTCTTCCGAACTTACCATAACCCTACATATTTTTCTCGACGACTTTTCAGATTTGCTGATATTTACACATCATGTGTTACCAATTTACTCAATTATTCAGTCAATCATACTTTCTATCCTAGGCGTGGTGTAATGCCTCATGAATATACTTCCTACTTTGTATGAATCCTGAATGATTTATGAAGAAATTGAGATTCTTTCAAACAACACCTGCTTACTATTGTTCTTGTCAGACCATAATTATTGTCCTGAAACTTGCATGATGCTGAGCATACATATCAACATAATCAAGATTTTTAATTTATAATTCTTTAGAGGCTAACCATAAATTAAATCATTTCTCTTTTTTGAATGATTTATTGTTTTGCCTCCAGTTTGACAGGACAACAATATTAGATTACATTTTCCGTCACTTAGGAATTTAATAGACGAGAAAAAGAGATAACATGTTCAGCCCAATTTAGAAATCCTGACTTGTAATGTTTTTTGTTCCATTCTTTGTGTTGTACATACCAGGGAATATAATAGTTACAAATATAGTAATTTGTGCCATTGTAGGTTTATGCTATTTGTTGTTTTATTTATATTTCACAATTTTGTTCCAATTTTTATAATTTGATAGAAAGATTATTTGATATATTTTCAGAAATCTTTATAAAATAAGACTCTTAAATATATCATTTGAAAGACTACAAATGAGAAGTTAATCTTTGAATGTACAAATATGATCTTTAAATCTCTGTTTATGACTTACTTACTCATTTCAGCAAAATTGTGGGCCAATTTGTTGCCAGCTATGCTTATGTTTTGTGAAAATATGAATTACAGTGACTTAGTCATCGGACTCATATGTCAAGTCATTACCATGTATGACTTTTATTTAGCTAAACTTGAATCTGTCTTTCTGCAAAACCATTTGTCAACCATTGACATGTATAGTTAAAGTTTCTTTGAGGAGCAGTGGTTTTGAATACTAAATTGAAGGAAACCTTAAATGGGGAAAATTTTTTACTAGAAGATTATGGATGTAGACTCATTGAAGTTGAACATTAAAAGAGGAAAAGTCTTAAACAAACGAAAATTAAGTAGACATTTAACTGTGTGGTTTAATATTTTGTGAGAACCTAAATATTTCTTTATGACATTCAAAATTGTATATCCTATTACCATTTGTTGTTTTATTTTTGTATAACTACAGTAATCTTGTCAGCAAATTTATTGTTTATTTTGAGGGAAGGTCTCGGGTTCAAGTCCTGATGAGGTCATTGGAGTTTTTTCAATTGACCTAATTCTTCCAGTTGCACTGTAGCCCTGGGGTCGACTCAGCCTCTAAAAGAAATGAGTACCAGGAATTAATTAAATAATTTTCGTTGGGAGTAAAGTGCAACTGGCGCGTAAGGCTGACAATCTTACTGCCATCTTTGAGCCGATTGTCTAGATAATGTGGGACCCTCAACGTCTCACAACCCTAAGACCCATCATTACTTGTTAACAGGCATAGCTTTACTTTTACTTTTACTAGGCCATTAACATGAATATTATAGAATTACTGGGTTTTTACTTCTTCCATCATCCAGAGTTCTAGCTAATAGAGGACATGACGTTTCAGAAACTGGATCTGTTTCCGTCTTAAGGTGAAAAGGGAAGACCCCCTACTCAGTCTATGAAACATCATGTCCTCTGTTACCTAGAATTCCAGACAATGGAAAAAGTCCAAAAACTCAGTAATTCTATGTGTCATCCACCATCATCAGAACCCTTTAGAATCTACATAAATATAATTCAGGTTTCAGTAGATATAGATATAGATAAATGTAGATACTGTTTGTTATAATACAAATTATCTTCTCTTGCTTTTGGCTTTGTTAAGTAACTGCATGCATCCCAGTTGGTTCATTCTATTTCACAGTCGCTTTTTATCCATAAATTCCTATAAGGAACTATTTAGAGGTTCACTTCACCCTTTGCATGTCTGTTGTCATAAAAAGAATGATGTTTCTGATTGAACTAAGTTAAAGACAGAAGATTTTTTTTTATTATTATTATTATTTGGTTAACACAATCATGGTTTAAACACACCATGCATTTACATGTACTACGTTTTTTGGCCTGTTGCGGCCATTGTCAGGTACATAGAGCTTTTTCAATCACCCTTCCTTCTGTCTTCTGTACTTCCCCACACTGGCCAGTGTTTACACATTGGGAGTGTGTTGTGTATGTAATGACCTTATTTTATAAAATGTATTAAATATTTAAATTTTTAAAAATATTGAAATATTCTAATTTGAATTAAAATCGAGTTATGTGTTAAAAGGTGTATATGTGGTCTGACAATAATGTTCGCAAACTCATCGCGGTAAAAGTGCTACATACCTCATTGCTGAATATCACTGGTTGCCTTCAAATACTCCCCTTGGGAAGCTATGCACTGATGCCAGCACCTAGTCCACCCTTCAAAACAATTTTGGAAATGGTTTTGTGGAATGACCTTCAGAGCTGCCATCATATTACTTCTGATGTCATCAGTGTCATCAAAATGCCTTCATTTCAATATTTCCTTTATCTTCAGGAACAGAAAAACGTCTGTAGGTGCTGGATCCAGTGAATAGGGAAGGTGTTCCAGCACATTTATTTTATGTACTAGCTAAAAACTCCCTCACAGACATTGCCTTGTGAGCAAGTGCATTTGTCGTGATGCAAGTTCGGGTTGTTTCCGTCTAACTTTTTCACTTAGACTTTTCAGTACTTCCTAACAATCAGCCGACAGTTTTCACCCGCAATTTGACAGACTTTTGCAATGTTTTCTTCAGTTGCTGGCCATCCCGATCTCTCTTTGTTAGTGACACTTTCTGTTCCCTCAGAAATATGAATGTTATTAGTGCATGTATAATAATTTTGTGTGCTGGGTAGAGGTGTATGTCAATTTTCCCTACCTCATATTGATGATGTGGTTATGTGTTGTTTTCATGTTCTTTTCTACCTGTGGCCTGCCCTGGAATACGAATTTTTTGTTAATATAAGGGTGTATAGTAGGTTGTGTAATGGAATTTTGGATGTTTTTAAGTGTTTTCTTATCTCGTGTGGAGAGGATGCTGCCTGCACAAATGGCTGTATGGGACTGCTGCTATTGATGTTATGCCGTTATGTGTATGGTGCTGTTGTCTACTGGCATGTTTTATAATTGTTTTGTGTAGTGATTATATAAGGTGTTGAATATAAGATATTTGAGATCAAACAGCACTTCATTCATTTGTTTTTTTGTTGGTACATACAGTAAATGTGGAATTTTTTCAAGACTATTCATATACTGCGTTCTGGGATTATTCTTGTGTGTCTGTCTATGCAAATTTTGTAGGTCTGTGATGAGGTGCCGTGTATATTTCATGTTGTACATGTAGCGTAATTGGCTGTTTTGTATTAGTATTTTGGTTAGGTAAATGGCTAATTTGTATGCTGGAGAATTGCACCAGTAGACTTTGGAACTTATTTGGGTTTTACTTAGTTTTATTTGTGCATGGAGGTTTGTACCTGACAGTGGCTGCAGTAGGCCAAAACATGTAGCACATGCAAATGCATGGTATGTTTATTTTAGGCCTCTGTTAACTGAATAACAATAAGCATTGTCTTACACACAATATGACACTACAGTATAATATTCCTAAGATTTGTTGTATCACAGATATTTTTAATGTTTGCATATTTGTGAATCTTTTGTACTAAAAAGTGCCAGACTCTCCAATATGACGCAAAGGCTAATTTCACTAACCAAGCACTAAAAAATATTAGAAGACAATGCACCTTAAAAATATTCACTTCTAAAACTAACGTTATCTATAAATACAGTAAATTGCTACCAAGATGCTACTTCTCAAATATTACCAGATATTGAGCAGTTTATGGCAAAGAAGCATTGCCAACTTTCTCATTGACAGTCTTCTGTCCTTAAAAATGAAAGTCTTAGCAATATGTGATGCAATGTATTTTTCCCTATATTACTAATTTGATTGAAAACAAACCATAGTAATCATTCATTAAAGTGTAAAGCTTATTGTAGTCATTTGACTTGTGCTTGGATATGATTTTGAGGTTCTGAACTGGCAATCATGCTGCAAAGTTTGATCATTACTGCATGATTCTTTCATATACTGAATATACAGTATGAACATAAGCACAATAGACCACTGTAGGTGGCGGTGCAAGGGCCGAGGAAGCCTACCCTTCATACATACAGTATGAACATAGAAGTAAAATTGGAATGATATATCATAGTACAAAATTGTGTAAAAATAAATAGAAGTGAGTCTTGTTGAGAAAAAGAATTGTATTTGTATACAGTATTTGTATTTAAGCCTATAATGTGGAAGCTACTATAGACTTCTTAGGCATTCTTTTCATGTAACATAACATAGAATGCCTTGTGAAAGGACTTGTTTAACAGTATGCTCTGTGAAGAAGTTTAGATAAAATTATATGTCGCTTCATATCACTGAATGGAAGGTCAGAAATATTCCCTTCTACCATTTCAGCTGATCAGGGTGTCATTTTACTTTAAGGCCTGAATGAGGAAAATTGAATGTTATAATGATATTTTCCTAGTGCAGTGAACTGTTTTTGAGGAACTTTTCAAAACACATATTACATGTACATATATTCTGGACTGAAAATGCAGTAAGACATGGAAACAAAACAAAAAGGATTGTGTCTCTTTTCTTTTTGTACACTGGGTAATTAATGTTCAGCACTATCTCCCATTCCCATAAAAGATTTACACTTTTATTTTTGCTTTGCATTCATCTGTTCTTAGCTTTAGCCCCCAGTCCTGTAACAAATATTGGATATTGCCAGCATTCTTCTCTTCAAATGTATTGTGGCTTTTGTCATTAACCCATCAGAATACTATCATATCTACTCTGAAAATTTACATGCCTCTACTTTTAGACAAGAAATTAAATACCCTTATATTTACCATTAATAAAATTTCAGCCAATGAGTTTGCAAAAATATAGTTGAAGTTAAATGCATTATGGCAATATGGTATGGGACACTTTAATCACACCACATTCAAAATTATACATTAGTTGAAATATTATTAAGCATGTTTTATTTCTCAGTGTTCACCAAGAAATCACAGTGGAATCAGTAAGTATACTCGTAAGTATCCTTATTGTGTTGCCACATTGCTTCCATCCTTAATCGCAGATTCCATGTAAATAATGCATCTACATTTTTTCAAGGGGCATTTTCGTCTCAGTGTGCAGCAAGGAATCATGTAAGCACAATAGACCACTGTAGGTGGCGATGCAAGGGCCAAGAAGGCCCACCCCTTATACATTCATTCATACATTCAAGGAATCATGTGGCAGAATATGTAGGTATGAATATCCATGCTCTATTACCACACTGTATTCAGTTGTAATCACATTTTCTATAAAAAAAGATGTGTGAATAAAAGTTATGTAATTGATAACTTTCTTCTCAAAGTTTCATGAAGGAATCGTGTTGTGGAGTCCATAAATGCAAATATTTGTGCCATGGCGCCATGTCGAATTCGACTATAATTATCTCAGTCTCTAGTGTAAAATTATACCCTGAGCTTCATAGTTTCTGGCATCGCCCAATTAAGTGAATCTCCCATAGATATTGAAGTAAGTCTATGTTTAACATTATTGTTCCATGAATTAAATATAAGTGCCATAAATAGAGATTAAATTACACCAACAATTTTGCAAAGATCGGTGGGCTCTGAAGTAGTAGAAGCTGAGCATCATGTATTAGTTTGTTTAGATCACTTAGTGTGTTAAGTAACATTTATAATTTCTTTATTGGTTTGTGAAGTAACAGTGTCAATTTTGAGTCTTCAGTGTGGATTCATTTTCATTGTATTTTTACCTAGTGCAGGAAGGCTCATATTTATATGTGAATTTATAATCCAATAGTGTTGATGACCAGTAAGAGGTTAAATTTTTAATATTTACTTTCATCTGCTCTCTGGTGTCAATTTTGTTCCTGTGGCTGAAACAGTTAGACACATGAAACATCTTACACAGTGAATGTGTAGAACATGTTCCTCTCAGGGTTTCTAGAGCATGTTGCTCTGCACTAAGGTTGTAAATTTAGTTCCACAGATGTCATATTTATTATATATTTAATTTTAATTTGTTGTTATATTTAAGGAATGTGCATTCTTTATTTTGTTAACAAATGAATTTTACCAGGTGTCAGTAAATGGAACATGCCACTGTCAAGAGGTAAAAGCTTGTGGAAATATCTATA